CGCCCATTTTCTTTGTTTAACCGTTATATTCGGATCCATTCCATACCACTCAAATGCTCTTTTTGCTGCTTTCGCCCATTTGATTCTTTCATCTTTACTAAGGTGCATGCAATTTGATAAGATAACACAAACTGACGCCCTTGTTAATGGGTCCAGGACAGTTACAAGATCATCATGGATTAGCTCCTCGCATAATGCTTCGCTTAGAACATACTCCTTGGCTTCTGCAAGCTTTTGAGCTTTATTGTATCGCTTCTTCATGTCAGCTTCGTTTATTTGTACATTCAGCTCATGTCCTGCGGCCAGGGTTGCATGATCGGATTCAGGAGAGAGTTTTGCGCGGATCTCCCAGTATTGCTTGATACCATTGTTGTAATATCTGTTCAAGTCACTATCTTTTTGTCCTGTCGCTATCAGAAGTTTTCGAATAAGCTGCAAAAATTTCGACCCCCAGCTTTCGAGTTCGGCACGTTGATGTATTTGCATATCGTGATATTAGTTAAAATATAAACTCGACTTAACGGCCTTTTCCCAGATAATCAGCCTGTAAACGCAGAGATCAAAATTTTGGAAAGCTGCATCTAAATCTTTCATAATATTGTTCATAGCTTCTGTCCACCTATCAAGCCAATCATCCCAGTCGTCTTCGTCCACTGGATCTCCAATGTATGCAAATATCCAAGCTGCGTCCATAAGTCGTTTGGATTGTTCATGCATAGTTTGTCTGATATCTTTAAATGCATTGAGAAACCTATCAAGACGATGTTGAAGAGTTGTTTTTTTGTTGGCTCGCCCATCTTCGTTCAACGAAAGATATTCTGCAAATGTACGCTTACTTGGTTTTGCGAATCCGTGTAGAGAAGGGCTAATGACTGATACAGGCGATAGATATCCTTGAAAATTAGGCGGAAGGATGACTTTGTATTGATAATCAATATCCTGAGAAAAGTCGTCTTCGATAGTGATTGGTTGAGCTTAACCTATTGACTTAATAGGGTGCAATAATCCGAATTTTCGGGTATACAACGTCCAAAAGTCGTCGGAACGAAACTGGGCATGGATATATATGGGTAACGGGGACGTCCATGTTGAACCTAATGGTAGAATAAGCTGAGGTTAATCCCCATGCCTTGCTGCGTTATTTTCTGGCCATGGCTGTAGGCTGTTTGCTAAACCGGGCATGTCTGCTAAGGCGTTATATAGTATCTTGTGGTGGGTGCCTCCAAATATCTACCGTGAATTTTATTAGATTCGAATATCTTAAGATATAGGAATTTTCTTACAGAAGCCTCGCCTGCCCATCCTAATTCGGATTTCGGCTCTTTATGCCACATTGGCTCATGCAACTTTCCCACAGGATTTTCTCTTATTTCCTCTCGAACGCATACTCCATCATCGGTGAACTCCTTAGTATAACCGAGCACATGCTATTAACTCATCAGTAAACATACATTTGAATAGAGTAAATAGAGAATAACAGACCATAATTTCATGATAAAGTGTCGTTGCTACATACCATTCCTCGGAAAGTTTTTCAGCATGGGATAAGTTGGGATTCATCAACGCTCGAAAGCTGTATATATTATATCGAGTGACGATCTTCTCCGTTGAACGATTATACGTGGACTCTGCCACAAAGGTTTGTCTCTTCATATCAGATGATATAGAGCTTTCATCAGTTGTTACGCTGTCGGCGCCAAACTCTAGTCTGTAATGACGTGAAAGAATCTTTTTCTCAATACGATTTAATTCTTTTCTCGTTCGCAAAGCGTTTGATTGGTTAAAAGGAAGTGGAAGAAAGCGTTTGATTAACTTTTGCATATTCTCAGGGCCACCATAATGGATCACATCTTCAGGTCTAAATTCTTCAATCGGAATCGTCTCGGAAGTTCCTAGCAGTAATGCTTGAATCTATTTTGCTCAGCCCCTGATCAAATTTTAGCAGATCAAATTGGAAATACATACGAAAGGATCTAGATGCATATGAGCCAATAATCTCGAAGTAAGCTTCAAGCATGGCTTGAGATAATTCCAAAGCCAAGGATTTTGCGCAGTCCATGATATTTCCTCTTTCTCAAGATTGCTGACTGAACGTAAAAAATCATTTTCCTCGAGCCATCTACTTTTTCCTATTGCGGGATTAATTGGATTGTGACTCGTGGGAATAGTCAAAGATCTCAATGAGACAACATCAAGATCAAAAAGAAGTTGCGTTGTATATCCATGCAACCTTGATTGTTGATATGCTGTTCTTTTTTCACGTGATACATTTGCTTCGGGATCGGCAACGTTGTATGCAGAGATGGGAGTGAGCCCGCTGCGGTGTGAGCCGATAACGATGGCTATAGGCGAGGGGGGGAGCGCCATATTTTTTTCGATATATAGTAGGTGAGGTTGTCATGACGCGGAAGATTTGCAAGTCTGTAAATTTATCAAATTACTACCAGTGATGAGATTCGTATAGTAGATAGCTTTACACAAAATTGTAGATATCAAAGGGCAGTGGACTGAGTGAAGTAGGTATCTTGGACAAAGAAAGCCATACGGATGCGAATAAGCTTCTTCTCCATAAGGTTATGAATGCCTTTGATATTTCAACAAAGAATCTCTTGACTTCGAGATCTATTCTTTTGTTTGAAGGGATGAGTGTAGAAGTGCGGCAATGCTTATTGTTGGTATACCCTGGATCGTCGCAAGACAGAGTGCAAGCATGAGGCGAGGAAAGGGGATGGGGATGGTTGGGGGGATGATTCAAAGGCCCATTGGGAGGTCTTTCGAGATATATTGATGGGCATTGGGGAGTGAAGGAAGGAATGGCATATACCTACTTGGTAACTGGGAGAGATAATGGCTGGATTTGACATGTACCAGGTATATTGCAAGATGTTATATACTGGATGGATGGTGGGTGAAAACATAGATAATAATACCAAATTTTACATTGGTGTGGGGGTTTGTTTGTAATATTCAAGTATATTTTCTTTTCTGTTGATGCTTGATGCTATATTTGAGAGATGAATAATCGGTAGAGTATCCATCTCGAACTTGATGCCGCATTTTCTTTCACTTGAATAGGTAGGTGGTGGGTGGAGAAAGGTGGTAAATGGAATGGTCATTGGGATATTGGTTTATTGGGAGCTGTTGAGTAAGTTGGAAGTCTGGAAAGTCTGTAAAGTCTTATTTGTGATGGGTTGGGTATTGGGTATTGGGTATTGAATGTTGAATGTTGAGTGTTGAATGTTGAGTGTTGAGTATTGAGTATTGGATGTTGGGTATTAGATATTGAATGTTGAGTTTATAATGTCTCGATGTAGATTCTGGAGTGGGGATGGGGATGGGGATGGTATGTTGTGAATGAAATATGTTGGGAGCTTGTTGCTGTTGCTGTTGCTACACGCAATTATATAGGTTGCAGATAAGAAAAGAAGAAGAAAAAAAAAAGGAGAGGGTATGGGATTTGGGAGTTGAAATATGAGTTTCCCTTTTTGGGTTAGAGATTTTTTGGGATTTGAAATTGAAGGAAGAAGGAAGGGAGGCTTTGTAGCTGGAGAAATGGAGGTGAAGGATGGGATGAGATAGGATGTGAAGGGATAGGATAGGAAGGGATGGGATGGGATGGGATGAGATGAGATGAGATGGGATGGGATGGGACGAGAATAAACGAGATTTGAAATTCGGAGAAACCAATACTTAAAGAGATAGATGATGAAAGAGATGAATCAATGTCAAGATATGAAGAGAGATTTCTAGAAGCAGGAGGGGGATGAGAGACAAATAAGTAAAATGAAATAAATGGGGACGATCAGGAAGTTCGGGAAGGAAGCACAACTTATATTGGGGATCTAATCTATTTCAATAAATTTCTTCTTCTTCCCCCCCCACACCACTTGGGTGGGCTGGTCAAGATCAATAGTGTCAAACTCGAACTTCCGAATACAGCCTTGTCTCTGAAAATAACGAGAGGCAGGGCCAGGTCATACAAACCTTGTATCAAAAGCTGCTTGCTGATTTTATTGATTAAGCGAAGTTTTCAGCATTGTCAATTAAATTATTCATCTATAAGAATTATAAAATATATATGTAGTAAATTTTTTTTAAATAAAGATATTATTTACACAAGAGCCATCAAACTTCCCCCTATACAAGTTCCTCCCTACCGAGATCCGCCTCCAGATCTGGTCCAACCTCCTCCCACCACCCTCGAATCATCTAAGTATCACCACCACCAAACCGAGACCCCTTTCCCCACGTCTCCCTCACCAAACCCCCATCCTCCTCTCCATCACTCGCGAATCCCGTTACCTCATCCTCCAACCCTACAACCTCCTCCCCGTTCCCTACGCTCGAATCCCCCTATCCCTCACCCACGATACACTCTACATATCCTTCTCCCAGCTGCCCTCACTTACGAGAAGTAAAGAGAGTAATTGAATATGGACGGAATTTTGAAGGAAAATTGGATTTTCTGGATATACCGGAATGGAGAAGGGATTTGAGAGAAGCGGCGGAGCGAGTAGAGGTGGATCTTAGAGAGAAGAGGAGTAAGACGGGGGTAGGAGAAGGACAAATGGGAGATGTGATAGTGAGGTGTGTGATTTTGACGAAGGGGAGTGAGATGGCTTGATGGAACTCTTGAGATATTTCTCGACTAGATAATTTGACATTCGTTTTAGATCTGGATCTTGGAACATCAGAATTTCAACAGCCTCGAATATACCATTCAATAATCACTTTTAGAATTCAGATATTGAAATCTCATGTCTTGCGAATCGAGAGGTCGAAATGAGGCACTAAGCAAAGTCTTGAGCTCGATTCAAAACAAAATACATTCCATGCACAGTGTTTTGAAAGTAGTAACTTTGATCGAGATCAGAGGACATACTTGTGATCTCGTAATATTTTCCAATTAGATGCTAGTAATGCCTAGCAGTGCACTCGTGAACAATTCTCCACCACTTCTTACAATACAGTTTCCAAGCCGGATGTTATATACTCTTCCTATGAGCCCACACGGTAATAAACTCACAACGCCGTCCCAATGCGTAACCGCCCATGTCTAATTTTGTCCATCAAAAGTTCCACAAGCACCACTCCCTCTTTGGTGGTATCAGAGGCATAACATTTCCCGGAAAAGCTCCCGTTTGCCTGGCCAGAAAATATGCAGTAGTTGTGCTTTCATCAAAAGTTGCATCCTCCATTTCCGTGGTTTTGTTTGGCCCTGGATACCCTTTTGTACACCATATCTTGGACCACTTGCCGTTTATGTTGGTCCCTGGCTCTCCATCCTTATAAACGACTGGCAGTCCATTGAAAGCCTGCAATATATCATCTGGACCCAATCGAATATAGCTCTCAGCCGGAGGATGTTCTAACGTTTTAGCATTTGGTGGTGGTGGTCGAAAATTTGGGCTGAAGGTATTCCAATTGGAGCCACCCAGCGCAGTGGGAGCGCCAGCGATCGCATTTAAGTTTTCGAAGTTTTGCTGATGGCCAGACTGCTGTGCTTGTGGTCCAGTGTTCGTAAATTGATTGTGCACGGCATTTATCGGCTGGGAGCTTAAAGCTCCGAAGGGATTGTTCGGCGCTGGAGTAGGAGCACCAAAAGGTTGAGTGTTTCCGTTATTAGAGCCAAAGGGGTTTGTTGGCGGAGGTTGACCAAAGGAGTTACCTTGTGCTAAGAAGTTGTTGTTTTGTGCCGTCGGATTGACCTGCGGTTGCTGGATTCCGGGAGGAAGAGGATTGGAACTAAACGCACCACCCAAGGGTTCTGGATTGGGTTGACCGAATGGGTTACTTGTACCTCCAAAATTAGAGAAGCCTGGCTGTCCGGCATTTGTGCCGCTATCTGAGGGTGCACCAAATGGATTCGTGTTTTGTCCCATGGTTGATGGAGTTCCAAAAGCGCCTGCTCTTTGTTCTAGTTGTGAAGGCTGTCCAAAAGCTGTACCGAAAGCACTTGGCTTTGGGCCCAAATTTGAGGGCTGGCCAAAACCACCGGGTGTCCCACCTTGCTGCGCAGCTACAAACCCTTGAGAAGGGACACCAAACGCATTGGAGTTTTGACTTGAAGGTTGCCCAAATGCAGAACCGTTTTGAGTAGGCGGTTGCCCAAATGCAGAGCCATCTTGGGTGGGTGGATGCGCAAATGTAGAACCATTTTGGGTGGGTGGTTGTCCAAATGCTGAGGTAGTTATTTGACTGGGTGCACCGAAAGCATTATTTCCAGAAGGGGCGACGTTTCGCTGAGCCCAAGGTGTTGGATCTGTGGAGGTGGCCTGCTGACGACAGAAATCAATTCTATTCGGATGCTCATTATCGGCGGCGATAATATAATTTATAGCGCCATCCACATCATTCAGCGCATTCCGAATTTGTAGATCCGCTTCTTCCCATAGTCTCTCTGCATCTTGTATCTAGAAAATATCAGCTTCCTATGTTTCATAAGCTGGGATCTCTACGCGTACAGCGGGTTGAACATTGCCAGAAGCTGCCGCTACATAGTGGCGAAGGCGCATCTCCTCAAAACTTTGCTCTCGCGTTGGCCCGCCAAACAATTGCTCTGGCGCATGGCGCCCGGGTCCGTACGCCGAAAGAATCCATTGCGGTCTGTCAGCAGTGAGGTCTTGCTTAATAATTGCTTTATCGAGACTAAAAGGTATATGCGCTTCGTTTCCTTATAGCATAGTAAGCCATCATGACAACCACGTATGCTGGGCAAACTTACCTCCTCGTTGTGTATTATAGTTTCGTGGGTTTGAGTGGGATTGGTTTGAAGGTTGATTTTGAAGGGGAGCGAACCGATTATTGAAGCCGTTCTTGTTGGAGTTGGCATTCTGATCGGAGTGTTCAAATCTGCAATCAGCTTTAGAATGTTAGCAGGTTTTAATCTTCGAATACGGGCAAGAATCGTACCTCCGGCTCTGCATTGCCCTTGCTGCCAGAATTTACAAACGGCCATTGTTTATACGTCTAGGGTTAAATATGGTAGGGACAAGTCCTTAGATGGCCAGAGCCTGAAAGGCTACACTTATAAAAGGTTCATTCGAAATCGCGCGAAACAAGAAATCTCATATTCATAAAAGTGTGCATACAACTTTGTTTAGCTGATGCGCAGAATCTTGGAAGATGATTGATGTTAGTCGGACGCGATAGATCGCGTCGGTAACTTTAACTTAAAAATTGATTGTCACAAGATCTACACCAAAATGAAATAATTAATAATTAATAATTAAATTGTCATTCAATTCCGACCTATTGTAACTCCCCAAATAACTCCATGACGCTATGTTGGTATCTTTGCAATATAGATCATAGGTAGATGTACATCCTCCCATCATCTTTTATACATCAATTCTTGGCCCAAGTCCTTCCTTCACAGCCGCTGACAAACGATCCCAATCCAGTCCTCCAATTGATTTACCACCAATACCTTTTAGCAGTAGAGTCTCCGAAAACTTTCCAGTACCAATTCGCCGCATCATGATTGTATCTCGACCCTTCCTTATTGCTCTCCCTTCTCCACGAAGTAAGTAATCCTCGAACCAAGTTTCTTCTTCTGGTGAGAATGGCAAATTTACCAACTCGACACTGCGATCAGCGATAGTTTCTTGCGGAGAATTCTTGAGAACCGCTGCAATTAATAATTCGAACAAGTGTCTTTGCATGTATTGCGACTGTCCTCGTGAGAAGTAGAAAGCTTCTGTGACACTGGTTCTTGCGATAGCAGAAAATAGACTCTCCGTTGCTCGGGATGAAGTCAAAGCTGGCTGTACGGTATGGTAGTATGCCAATGGAATTGCGAGATCTTCAGAGGAATGTAACACCAGAGCCTCTAATATTTCATCCACAAAGCTCGGTATCAAAGATGGATGGGTCAGATATTGAAGTGCCGACTAGGGATAATCAGTTTCATGCTATCTATCTACGGACCTTTGAAGACAAAAGAATCACAAACCTCAAAATCAAGACGATCCAAATGCCAGAGACCCTTTACATAGATTTGGTAACTCTGCGGCAAGAAAGACTTCTGTTCGAATGTAGTAGAGTAGTCTCTCCGTCCGGTTGGAGCATCGAAGTCGAGCAGTATGTAATACAGTGCTGATAATTTGTGATGATCCTCGCCCGCTGAGTCGATGATGACTTTGTGTAGGTTTCTAAGGTCATTATTTGACTTCGGCGGATAGTATTTAACAGCTTGCGGACAAGTTAGTAAGAGATATACCATCCCATTGGTTTGTGGAAGCTCACGTCGACGGATTTCAAAATTCTTTAATAAAGTATCCACGAACAAGCCTTCAAGCTTCTTACGATTGCTCTCAATTTCCTGCACGGCATATTCATTATACGAGCAGTCTTGGTCAAAGTCGAAGACCTCATCAAAATTCTGAAAGATAAACATTTCGTACTGCTGCGTTGTACTTCCTCGATGTTTGCGTTTAAAGAGATGATATTTTGAAATCGCGATGCAACGATACACCCAGTTTAATAACGTGTTTCCGAAAAAAATATCATTATTTTAACTCCTTATGAATTTTCACCTCAATCTTAACTCAAAATCGAATTTCAATCTACAATATCTTTTTCAAAATAGCTTCAAAATAGAAAAACTTTTTAATATAATTGAATTATTGATTATTAGAATGATTTCAATTATTTTTGAATACTGAAATAGCTTATTTATCGAAAAAGTGATTTTGAGAGTAAGGTCAAAAACCATTAGAGATCAAAATTGCGACTTTTTTTTTGGAAACACGTTATTAAACTGGGTGTATTGATAGTAGATAAGAAGCTTATCTTAGCGTAATTTCACTGTTTGAAGTAAACAATGGCTCCTCAGCAATATGCAATCCAAAAAAACAACGAACTTCCAACACCACATTTTACATTTAAATGATCGATTGAATATATGAAAAGTTGCTAACAGGTATGTTGCTCTATCTCGTGCTTCCGAAATTCAACACGCAATACTTATTCAAATATTTAGGTACCTTCCTTATCCAGAACTATAATCAATTTTTCTCCGCAAGCAAAAATACAATACACCTGCTGGACCTCATTATGTCAGAATCGCCTGTCCGGTCCTCTAGAAGGGTGGCTTCTCGCCGGAAAATTGTAGTAGAATCATCAGACGAAGACGAAAGCATGGAAGTAAAGGTTGAGGAAGATGATGAGGAGGAGGAATTTACCCCCGCACCGAAGCGTAGTCCACGAAAAGCCCCTCAATCAAGGCGGAAGACGACAAATTCAATTGCGGCTACACCTCGCGCAGGCGATCGATCAAAGAAAAGCATGGATACCGAGAACGCTGAGCCTTCGGAGATGTTCGACCCTGACCAAACGGCAACCCCAGCACCGGAGTCACCTTCAAAAAAGGCACCCCCCCGGAGCGCACGCAGCTCCGTTGCACCTGAATCGAACCCACCTTTACCAACACCGAATGCATCACAGTCTCCTCAGCCATCCGAAATGCACAATAGCACAGTTCTGGCTGACATCACAGAAAGGCCTGGGACCTCGGACAGTCAAGCGTCAGCTGTCAAACCCTTGCGAGCTATGGATACAATCATGGAAAAGCCAATGGATATTGTTCTCAAGTCAAGAACCATGGCAGCTCCGGTGATTGAGGATACTGGTCCAAAAGCTCGAATAGTCATTACTTATCTGATTCTTACGAATTTTAAGAGTTACGCTGGCCGCCAGGAAGTTGGCCCCTTTCATTCGTCTTTTTCTTCTGTCGTTGGGCCTAACGGCTCCGGCAAATCCAACGTTATCGATTCTCTTCTTTTTGTATTCGGCTTCAGAGCTAGCAAGATGCGACAGGGCAAGATTTCCGCATTAATTCACAATTCTGCAGCTTTCCCGAACCTGGACCATTGTGAGGTTGCTGTACATTTTCAAGAAGTGATGGATCAGCCCGATGGCACACATCAAAGTATTCCTAATTCTGATCTGGTTATATCTCGCAAGGCGTTCAAAAATAATGTCAGTAAATATTATATCAACGGGAAGGAGTCAAATTTTACCATTGTCACGACACTACTTCGTGACAGAGGTGTGGATTTAGATCATAAAAGGTTTTTGATCCTTCAAGGTGAAGTCGAGTCAATTGCGCAAATGAAACCGAAGGCTGCGAATGAACACGATGATGGCCTTTTGGAGTATCTGGAGGATATTATTGGCACATCCACATATAAAACCCCCATCGAAGAATCTGCTATCGAAGTGGAAACGTTGAATGAAGTGTGTGTTGAGAAGAGTGGGCGGGTTCAACACGTTGAGAAGGAGAAAAATGGTCTCGAAGATAAGAAAAATAAGGCGCTTGCTTATATCAGGGACGAAAATGAGTTGACTATGAAGCAATCAGCTTTGTATCAGGTCTACATTAATGAGTGTGGTGATAATTTAGCCGCTACCGAAGAGGCTATTGGTCAGATGCAGGCACAGCTGGACGCAGAAATGGAAAAGCATCAAGGCAATGAAGCGGGAATCAAGCAGCTTGACAAGCAGTACAAGAAGGGCCAAAAAGAGTATGAGTCGGTCGAAAAGGATACTCAAGCAATACTCAAGGAGATGGCAAACCTCGACCAGGAGCGAGTGAAGCTTGAAGAGAAGAGGAAATTCTTGACAGGCAAACAGAAGAAACTGGAAAAAACAGTCAATACATCCGACTCCGCTATTTCCGAAGCTCAGGCTACGATCGAGAAGTGTGCAGAAGAAATCCAGGAATCTGCCGCCGAGATAGCTGCAACTGAACAGAAGATGGCCGAAGAAGAGTCAGAGCTCGCTAATATCAGGGATAGTCTCAAGGGGAAAACCCAAGAATTTTCCGACCAAATTGCGGCCAAGCAGAAGTCATTGGCGCCATGGAATGAGAAGATTAATCAAAAGCAATCTGCTATTGCCGTCGCGGAGAGTGAGCTCGCGATCTTACACGAGAAGGCCAATGCAGGTGCTGTAGCACTACGGGAGATTCAATCAAAGGTTCAGACCATAGAAGAATCCCGGAAGGCTAAGCTCGAAGAACTCGAGCAATGCAAGGGACAAAGAGCGAAGCTGGAAAAGGACGGTGCTCGATTACAGGCCGAATTAACGCAATTGTCTCAGAAGGAGCCAGATTTCCGCTCTAAACTATCAGGTGCTCGCCAAAAAGCCGATGAAGCCCGCGCTAGTCTTTCGAATACCCAAACCCAAGGGAATGTTCTGACGGGCTTGATGAGGCTTAAAGAGTCTGGCCGGATCGATGGTTTCCATGGCCGACTTGGAAATCTGGGCACAATTGACCAGCAATTTGATATTGCAATTTCTACCGCCTGTGGAGCCCTGGACAATTTTGTGACGGATACAGTCGAGGCTGGTCAACAGTGTATTGAATATCTTCGAAAAACTAATCTTGGACGAGGTAACTTTATGTGCTTGGACAAATTAGGAAATCGTGACATTTCGCCCATACAAACGCCGGAAAACGTCCCTCGTCTTTTCGATCTTATCAAACCAAAAAATGACAAATTTAGACCAGCATTCTTTCACTCGTTACAAAACACACTTGTAGCACAAGATTTAGCACAAGCCAATCGCATCGCTTATGGAGCCAAACGATGGCGTGTCGTGACTTTGGATGGTCAGTTGATTGATAAATCAGGTACAATGTCTGGTGGTGGTAATACGGTAAAGAAGGGTCTGATGTCTTCGAAGCTTGTTGCCGAAGTCTCAAAAGAGCAGGTTTCAAAGTTGGAAGTGAACAGAGATGAGCTCGAACAAACTTTCCAGAAGTTTCAAGGCCGCCAAAGAGACCTGGAAACGCGGCTTAAAGATATAAGCCATCAAATGCCGCAACTCGAGACGAAAATGCAAAAGCTTGGTCTGGAGATAGAGAGTTCCGAGCGAAACTTGGTAGACGCACAAAGACGCATCAAGGAATTGAGCAAGGAGCACCAGCCATCGCAAACAGACGACAGTCGAGTCTCCACACTGAATAAGGACATTGCGAAGATTCAAAAAGAAATCAAGAAACTTCATGCTGAAACAGCCAGCGTAGAAGAAGAGATTAAGGCTCTTCAGGATAGGATCATGCAGGTTGGTGGTGAGAAGCTTCGTGCTCAGCGTGCCATGGTGGATTCTTTGAAGGAAGAGATTGATGTCCTGAGTCAGACCATGTCAACAGCAGAAGTGACCAAAACCAAAGCTGAGAAACAAGTCATTAAGCACGAAAAAGACCTTGCTAAGGCCACCAAGGATATACAGGCTTCCGTTGCGGATCTGGAAGCACTAGAGGAGGAGATTCAGAATCAAGGATCAAATTCTGAAGGGTCGCAAGCCAGAGTTGACGAAGCTCAAGAAACTTTGAAGGAAAAGAAGAAGGAGCTCACTGCTCTCAAAGCTGATCTTGATGAGAAAACCGCCGAGCTCAACGAGACCCGTGCAATTGAGATTGAGATGCGCAACAAACTTGAAGAGAACCATAAAGTATTGACTGAGAACCAAAAGAGGCTAAGATACTGGCAAGAAAAGTCGGGCAAACTTGCTCTGCAGAACATTGGTGACCTGGGTGAAGAAGTTGAACAGGAAGAACTTCCTACTTTTACCAGAGACGAACTTGCAGATATGAGCAAGGAGGCATTGAAAGGCGAGATTGCAATCCTAGAAGAGAAAACTCAGAATGTCAATGTCGAGCTAGGTGTTCTTGCAGAATATCGTCGAAGAGTCGAAGAACATGCTGCAAGGAATCAAGACTTACAAAGTGCCGTGGCTCAGAGAGGCACCGCAAAGAAGCGCTGCGATGATTTACGACGCCTTCGTCTCGAAGGCTTCATGGAAGGTTTCAGTACGATTTCCCTTCGACTCAAAGAGATGTACCAAATGATCACAATGGGAGGAAATGCCGAATTGGAACTGGTGGACTCGCTAGATCCATTTTCGGAAGGAATTCTATTCAGTGTGATGCCACCGAAGAAGTCTTGGAAGAACATCTCAAACTTGAGTGGTGGTGAGAAGACATTGAGCAGTCTGGCACTCGTGTTTGCTTTACATCACTACAAGCCGACGCCCTTGTATGTAATGGACGAGATTGACGCTGCTCTAGATTTTAGAAATGTAAGTGCAATAACTCCTTCGCCAAGGATGCACCTCGCTAACATGCTCAGGTTTCTATCGTAGCATCTTACATCAAAGAACGAACCAAAAACGCACAATTCATCGTAATCTCACTGCGGAATAACATGTTTGAACTCGCGAGTAGACTAGTTGGAGTGTACAAGGTTAACCATATGACGAAGAGCGTGACGATAGAGAATAAGGATTACATTACGGGTCGAGCATGATGTGAGACACTATTGCTGTGTTTTTTTGGTTGCTCTTAGGGAGTTGGATAAAGGATCTGGGATGTATCACGATTATTAATGAGATCATGATTTTCAATTTTTCTACTCATATTCATATTATCGGTTTAGAACGAAGTGCGGCTCCAATGCAACATGCAAACTGTCATATACCCACGCTGTGGTTGTCAAAATCTGAAATGTCTTGTACTCACAACTTGGGATGAGATATTGGATGAATAGGGAATATGTGCAAGTACTGGTTGTTGGTCGTCTACGTGAGTGTTATGGAGAGTATTCACGAAAAAGTTGTCATTCAGATGATGTATTCTCTCACTACACCCCTTAAACATCATTCATCACTAAATACGGATGATCGAAGTGTTGACCATAAGATTTACCTGCTGCACTTGACAGTCACTTGACAGTCGGGACACTTGCTGCACGCAGTAGGGCGAGCTGACAGTGTAGATAATAATAAAGCACTGTCCTGGGAGACAGGCTAGTACAGAGAGCCTCCAACGAAGAACGCCACACAGGCATAGGAAGGTGGAGCTTTCGAAAAAGGTGAGGGGACAGCAAAAGAAGGAACGTGGCAGAAAGATACATCAAAAGAGAGAAAAATATGGGACAGCCAAACATGAACAGGATTCAAAGGTAAGTAAAATTGACCAATGCCTATATTTTCAAAGCAAGTTTGAATATCAAGTTGCCCGTATGTCAGGTTAGTGAAGCAGAAACTCAGATAGATCCTATATAGGGAGGGGGTCGAAGAAATGGTGAACACAGCCATCATAAGATATCGGCTTGGAACTGTTATGATTGCCGTAGACCATAGACCATAGACCAATAACAACAAACATGCTGTGCAAAGGACTTCCAATGTCGAGGATTTTGTCAAATCAATGCCCTTTAGCCTTTTTGTACCACAGGTCTGGATAAGATGAATTGAATTGACGTTGAAGATTCACCCCGGATAGGACGGATCGGAGATTCATGCATTAGCAATCTCGGATAATTCACCTTGATTATGTAAGTGCAGATGATTGGGTGGGTCCGCAAGGCTGCAGTACGGAAGGCTGATTCACTGAGCAGTGATTGCTTTTGAGGTTATTTAGATGTCCCAATGTCCCAATATCAAATCCTCTTTCTACTTGTACAATATTCCCGAATGAATTCGTATCTTCTTTAGTCACACTGACATTAAACCCCTCACTCTTATTTCAATTCTCATATACTTCATCACTCTAGCCTTTTCACGTCGATTCGATAAAGCTCTTTGACCATTTGAACTCATACATGAAATTAGGTCAAATAACATAGTTCGCGACTTCGCGACTCTTTTCAAAAAGACGGGCGTACTTGATCGATAAATTCTAAGAATCTGCAAGGCTTTCTTGCTTCCCATCATACAGTAATAGGTCACCATGAACGGCTCTACTAATCAGCATAGCACAAATACTATCGAGGTACCACCCGCACAAGCAAATGGAAACGCGGCATTATTATCGCAAATCCATGAAGCTCTTGCGCTTGTCCATAACCCACAGTCATCCAATCAGTCTCGCCAACAAGCCTCGATTTTTCTAGAGAATATCAAAACCGACGCCGAAGCTCCTTACCATGGGTTTACCCTAGCATCCGACAAAGCTGAACAACCAGTCGTACGCCACTATGCATTGTCTCTTCTGGAGCATGCTATAAAACATAAATGGGCCGCATATTCGGAGGTGCAAGCAAGTGCGCTGCGGCAATGGATTATACAACTCTCGGAGGCTCTGGCCCAAGAGGACCCCTTATATTTGCGAAACAAGACGGCGCAACTTTGGGTGGAAGTTGCGAAAAGAAGTTGGGGATCAGAGTGGACTGATATGGATAAACTTCTTGTGGAATTTTGGGAGCTTCCAGGACCTGTGGTTCACAAGGAGTTTGTTCTGTTTGTTCTCGAGACCCTCTCCGATGAGGTCTTCAATGGTGAAGACGCTGTCACTGTTTTACGAGAGGGCACTTTGAGCAAAGCTTGTGTGGAAATATTCACACCCGCAGTTGTGCTATCGGAATCATTCCCAAATCGACAGCTAGGTACCGTTTTGAGACATGGAGATGAAGGATGGCTAGTAAGAATTGGCGGGTTGCTAGGCCAGTGCCTTCAATTGGACATCTCGAGTCCTCAGTATCAGAGTTGTGCAGTCAAGATATTGGCTGTCTATAAGTCTGTGGTGCCCTGGACTGTACCAAAAGCTATCTCCAGTGCCCAATGCGTTCAATATATGTGCAAATGTCTCGCTGCGTCTAGTACACCAGTACAACTAGTAAGTTCCGAAAAGCACCTGTAAAAATACAGCACTGATATTTCTTAGGCGTCTGTTCAAGCCCTCTATGCACTTTACACTCGCGTGCATTTTTCAGACGAAGAATTCTTAGAACTCGTATGCCCAATGTATACCAGTGAAGTGGTTAGCTTGCTACGAAATTTATTCCAATGGTCCGTGGTAGACGCCGATGATATTGACGATGAAAAGTATCTATTTGCCAAAAAGTTTGCCGAGGTTTGACGCACTTTCAGAAATTTCCCTACACATGCTGACCTGATGCAGATGATGTCGAATCTTGGGGTATTCATAGAATCTAAAATCTCAGCTATACCCGAATCCTGCGATTTTCCAAACCTTTTGAATCTTTTTCTTGCCATTGCTCAAAGTCAAAGTCTTGTTGTTTCGATACCCATCATTCTTACCTGGACAAAGTTACTTCGCTCGCCAATCATTGGAGGGTCTTCTACCATAACTCCTTTAATTGCACCTATTCTAGAACTTTGTAGTTCACGTCTCATTCGATATGAGAACATGCCAGATGACTGCGAAGATCCCGAGTATCTCTTTTTGAAGGAAGATATCGATACACAACCAGAGAGACATGCATTTCTTGGGAATTATCGACGATATTGCTCGCAAGTCATAGAGCTTGTTGTTCGACAAAAACAATCTGAGGCCATATATCATATATTAGGCCAAGTGGATAACTCCTTGCAACATCTCTATGACGGTTGTCCGGCCTTTTCTGGTAATGAATGAATCACTTTATTTTTACATCACACATGGTTGACCTAAATTTAGTGGAAAATTATTCCAAGACTTCGATACCAATACTACGTGTCGATAAAAATTTCACTGTCGTAGAAGCAGCACTGAAAGGATATATGAAATGGCGAGCCGCGCATGGCTCAGAACCCCAACGAGATGTAAGTATACACTAAGTACTGGAATTGACACGTGTAACTGACATATGACAGGAGCAAGAGCGCACAAGTATAGAGGACAATCTAGAAACCTGGTGTGAACGATTGTTGGAGCTCAAGTTCGAGGTAAGTCATGGTCACACTGTTACGAGTGACGAGTCTTGGTCTAATTTCTTCCCTAGGATCCAATAATTCGAAAGAGAATTATACAGCTCGCTGTCGCCTTTTCGACTACTGCTTTGGACAAGAAAGTGGGATTCATGCTCAAAGTCCTAGAACATATCTTGATGACACAGCCCATGGAATATCCAAATGCCTTGGCTTATACCGAAGCCGTGAAAGAGCTACAAGCCGAGTCTGCTTATGAATTGCAACGACTGGCCGGGAAAATGCCTGACCAACTATTGGTAAGTTCCTTCAAAATTATCAAATATACATCTACTAATTCAAGCTCGCAGGATGTCTATGATCAGCTCCAAGCAAAGGTCAATGAGATAATTTCCACCAGAAGCCTTGATAAAAAACGCCAAACATCTTATCAAACCTTCTTATTCACGATCATGTATGTTTTCTCTCCCATTAATGTTTTTGATACCATACTAATTCTGACAGCCACCGTACCTCTAAAATCGACTCGGAGATTCGTTTACAGAAGTTGAAAGGATTTCTAACACCTGTGCAAATGAGTTGGCAAGATTCAGAAATGAATACAGCGATCTTGAGTTTCTCCGGATTCTGTGACCTGCTTGGATTAAACCGCGTAAGAGACTTTCTTGTCACAAGACGAGTTCACGAGATACAGGATTGGTCGACATTTCAACTTGACTCCGAGGCGCAATCGATCCAGAAGGACATGGAAGAAAGATTGAAGGTATGTCCGATATCGTTTGAGATATGAAACTGTTATTGATTTGAGTACAGGCATTGCCGTTAAGAACTACAAAATCGTTTCTAGGCTGCTCAACCGAAAAGATTGAGAAAGAAGACCCTGCTTATAAAGTTTCCTGCACTCTATGGCGAGATGCATTGCCCATGATACTACCAAACCTTCTCAAATACCTAAGGTAGGTAAACGCGCTTGGTCTAATCATTTTGCTAATTCTTCTAGTCATGCACATGCGTTCCACAATCCCGCAAATTGGAATGCACTTCCTCCAGAGATGGCACCCATTGTCAGTCAAATTTTAACAGACCGCTTCTGGCAAGCTGGAATATCTGTTGGAAGCAAAGACGACTTTTATGCCAGAGTGACTGGTACTAAATATACCATGGAAGGTCTTGCATCATCCATACGAGGCTCAATCCGTACTGTGAGAGAGTCTTGTTACTCAATACTCTATTCCATGAGTCGTTTGGATGTCGACTTTTATGGATTTAGCGAACTTCCTGGGCCACTTGCACATGCTCTCTTCGCAAACGCCCATTGCCTTTCTTCGCATCAACTTATCGCTCTGTTGAATGTTGTGCGACTTATGGTGGATGATTGTCCAGTTGAAGTTCGATCCCATTTCGCACCTCCTGTATTGGCCTCTTGTTTTGCTCAAATGGACGCCAAATGCAGTTCCGAATGGGAAAGACTGTCTCATAAGGAGGTGGTCCCCGCTGATGGAGATACCTTGACTGAGGAGATGAAGGAAGAGAGCATTTTGCGACAACTAACACACACAGCAGTCATGATGATTGCTGGATTTCTCGACCCAGCACGACCAAGTAAATTACCAAACAAATTCACATGTGCTACCAGAGCTAATTATTTGCCAGATGTCGGAAGCGCCCCCGCGCCCACCTCAGCCAAAGAGGCCTCGACATTCGTCCAAACTCAAGCTAACGCATATCCAAGCATGAGAAAGTTCTGTCTCACATCCTCGACGATCCTAGAACCTTTGCTACTCTTCCTAACCCACGCAATCCGAATGCGAGATACCCGTTGCTGTGGCATTGTCCTCCGTGTCTTCCGATCAATTGTCCCAGATTTTGCCTCGGGTCACGATTCGCCCCTCTCTTCCTCCATTAGAGAGTTTATCAGTACCGATGTTCTCAAAGCGGCTATCTCATCCTTGAACGAACCCTATTTCGTAGAGTTACACAAAGATCTTGCTCACTTAATTGCATCGATTTTACTTTACTACGCACCGGTTACAGAAACCCCAAAACAAATCCTACTAAGCTTACCGGGGATGCAAGAAAAGGCCGTGGATAAATGTATTGAAACCTTGGGAAGACAAGGGGTGCAACAGAGACAGCAGAGAGCGTTGGTATTGGATCTACTAAAGGACTTGAAGGGCGTTAGTATTAGTGAACAAGGCAAGATCTCGAAGAGTGCGAGTGCTGTGAGGAAGGAGAGGAGTAAGATGCAAGAGGCTTTTATGAGGGGGCCGGTGGAAGGGGATAAGAAAATTAAGAGTGAGATTGATGATTTGGAGGGGGTGGCGGGGCTTTTTGATAATTGATTGATTGATTGATGGAGGGAATGGGATGGGATGGGTGGATGGGATGGTATGGGATGGGGATCGTGAAAGAAGCTGGGGGTGTTGCGAAGTAAGTTGAAAGAAAGCAAAATAAAACGCCGTGCATGGGGCTGGCTACCTACAGTGCGCTGGCTTCTTGATGGAGGGTTCGACGGGTGGATAGGTGGTTAGCTATAGCTATCTACATAATGCGCAGATCATATGGTAGCTAGATTCGTATCGCAGTATCTTAGACTATACTAGGAAATTTAAAGTGTGTCTTTAAATACTGTTTTTGTACTGTATATTGTATTTGGATCTGGATTTGGATTTGGATTTGAATATGTGGTGTGATATACGTAGTGTACTTGGTATAGTAGAACAATTTGTACTATGTATGGTACATGATATGATGTGTGTGATGTGTGTGATGTGATGTGTATACGATATTTGTATGTGTACATAGGTATATATGGAGTTCAAGGATTGATGAATTGATGATTTGGTTTGTTGGTTGGGAGCTGGGAGTTGGGAGTTAGAGTTAGGGGTTTATGGAAGGAGGGGGGGAGAAGAGGAGAGAAGAGGGGAAAATAGGGGAGGAGTAGAAGGGGTGGGAGGCAATGTTCGTTATGGGGAATAGTGATGCCGTATTTGTTTTTGTATTTTTATGGATATTAGAGTTAAATGGTAAAGAAAAAGAAAGGGAAAGGGAAAGGGAAAGAGAGAGTAGATACGAGTAGCTGGTAAATGGGATAGGATGGGATGGGATGGGATGTGGTGATTACGAGGTATACATATATTAGCAGTGTAGTCAATAGTTTACCAGTTGATTTACTGCACTGATTATACTCTGGCGGTACAGTTTGATGTATTTAAATCGCTAGTTTGGTGGGTTAATCTGGTAGTTTTTGAACTAAAATCTGGTAATTTAATTTACTGAATTTATTTGTTATTCGGTTTAGTTTATGATTTTCAAATTGCTAGTTGAATTGCAGTGTACCAAACTGCCAGTTTGCTCACTGGTTCAAGATACTGATTGTACTGTATGCTAGTGAGGTATGCTAGTGAGGTGAGGTGGTTGGATGTGTTGAGATGAGATGAGATGAGATGGTATCTTTATGGTAGTATAGTGTACGAAAGAAAGATAGTAGATATCTTTTTCGATATGTATCTATGTATGTAAGATTACAATGATGCACCGGTATTGGGATTTGGAGGTAGATTTGAAAAGATGTGGAATTGGTGATGGGTAGATAGAGAATCAGAGAATCAAGCTTGGGTGTCATTGTTGAGCAAGTATAGAATGATGGTGTGGTATGATGGTATGGTAGATGATGGAGAATGGAGGATGCGTGATCGTTGCTGATGATTTGATGGATAAATGTTATATGGATGTGTATGGATGTCGATGTTATATGATAGAAAGACAGTGTGGTCAATAGTCAACCAGTTGAACTAGTGCATTGATCAAACTGGCAGCTTAGTTTGTTGAATTCAACAATTAGTTGGTTTAGTTTATGATACTAGTATTAAAACTGCTAGTTTCTCGACTGGTTCAAACTACCGACTACACTGCAGAAAGAGGTATGATTGGAATTGGAATTGGAATTGGAATTAGAATTCGTCGATTCGTGGATGAGATTTAATTAGCTAGCTGGTGAGTGTGGAGTGAAAAGAAGGGAAGGGAAGAGGAAAAGGGGGTAGGAGATGTGTTGATGTTTGGATATGATGATGTCTGGATGGAATACTGTGTATATGGATGTATATACATGGGGAGTATACTGGAGATCTAGCATATGTATAGGTGGAAATGGGAGGAAATAGATCTAGGATTGTTGTGATAAATGTTCAGGTATTATGAATGAAATAACAGTTAAGAGTTGAATAGTAAACAGTGAATAGTGAATAGTGAATAGTGAATAGTGAATAGTGAATAGTGAATAGTAGTAAACGGTGCATATTGAATAGTGAATAGAAGGATCAAGATTGAAAAAGTGCCGGCAATGAATGAATAACTTTGACTGATATCTGGATAATATAGGAATACGGTAATTTGAAGTCCGAATATAACGCTATATATGTGTATAGACTCTAAAGAGAGGAAGATACTGAAGATCTGATGTATATACATGTATATGCAGAAGGAAATAGATTGGGAATTGAATGAAATATGAAGTTCAGTCTAGTGCCACTGCTCCTTACTATTGAGGTATATGATCTAGTGTGGATAATGGATGATATGAAGTTCGGATGGAACGCTATGTATATTTGTATATTCCGATATGGAAGCAAATTTAACATACAGGAGGAAACGGATTTGGAATTGATTTATTGGTTGAAGAACGAAATGAAGGTAGTTCGGGTGTTGTTGAATGGTCGATGATGAATGGTTGTCAGTCAAGAATTTGAAAAATATTTTGAGGATAGGATATGATATGGTGTTGTGGGTGTAGTCGATGTCACCTTAATACATCAATAATGTTGTGTATGGTGTGGTAGGTACCTGGGTACTGGGTTCTTATTTAACGTTGTCCTCTTTCTGTAAAGGGGGGGTGGCATTGGGTGTGAGACGAGCTCAGGGTAGTAGAGGACGAGATGAGGCGAATGAAAAGGAGTAGGGAGGAGAGTGAATCACTGGTCGAGAAAAAAGAGAGATGTTGTGAATGATATTCTTGGTTGTTAGATGTGTTGCAAAAAGATTGAAGGTATCGATAAGGTTGTTGGTAAGCATGAAAGGTAGGACTTACCGTTACGAAGGTATTTATGGTATATATTCATCGTACAGTGACTAGAACATGCCTTATTATGTGACAGAGGAGGAATTAGCTCATTAGTTGATGGTAGAGAAGCATCCCAGTATGAGTAGTAGTGAATTAATAGTGATATCATCTTAGCACTCTGTTATAGTAACAACCTGTTCATATACGGAGTATAGAATAACAAATCCCAACCCTATGGTTTAGCAGTGGGGGCCATTTCATCATCACATCACCAAGCTATCTTTCTGTCAGCACTACTCCGTGACTTGGAACATCATCCTTCACAATGCCGGTGACCCGGAGAGGAGTGAGATCTCAGGGGTCTACATTCGCCAAATATCATCCAACCATTTTTTGTCAAAACAATCAAATTTAGAAATGTTAAGCGACGACTTGAAACCCCAGTGGTTCTGTATATTTATCCGAGGGAGGTGTTGCGCTTGGATCGCCTTTTGGTGGGGTAGACTATTTAAGAGTGGATGATGGATGTTATGCTTTGGGGCAGTGGGACGGTGATGGACGGGTTGTTGGCATTTCTTGGTAGGAGATGGGCGTACATTGCATTGATGGGAAGGAGCCATGTTGGTAGGAAGACTTGGAGATATTAGGGAGGGGGGAAGACCCGAGGCCGGATGAGGTAGGGTAGGGTAAGTAGATTCGATTTTACAGACCTCAGGGAGACGGAATGGAACGGCTTCAGTACCGATACAGTTCATTAAAGATACGGTTCATTAAAGTGGCTCGCAGTAAATGCCATTTCTCATTTCTACTGATCAACCAATCTGAAAACAGGTTCAGGGTAAAACCCAAATTGATGTTTATTCCTTTACACCATTATCTAATGATTTATAACATATCTGCTCTAAATATAATCACAGTAAATGTATATAATTTCGGCTTAATTCTTACGCCTCCTTTTTAATATATCCGTACTTTTCCGAAATCTTTCACGGCAGTACCGGTTACCTAATGCACAAAATCAGTATTGTGCATATCTGTTGACTTCTTAGTCTTAGTCTTAGATAGCTTGCTTTATTTACCATTACTCCGTATGTTCTATGGGGCCGTAACGGCATTATTAAGCTTCGTTCACTTTCTGTCTAGCCGTCCTGTCAAAATCTCCCTTGTCAATATTTCACATGGGGTGTTTGTTATATCTCTCCTTGCAATTTCGTTATTTTTCTGAACGGCAATTGCCTTTGAGAAGTCTTCATTTTAAGATTTCATTCAAGGATAAATAAATCCTTCTGCCATTTTGAACTTCCAACTCCATTTCCCACCGCTGTCACTGGTAAGTTCTAGTCCAGTGAACGAGTTTCGGTACAAGTTATATTGTTATTGTCAGGTCTGTGCTTCTGCACTCCCTAGGGTGGCATGGTATCAGAAGTTCAAAACAGAATCCATGAGCCAGGGCCCAGGAGGGGTTGAATTGATCGTCCAGAGGTCTAACTTCAGGAGGGATCCTTAAGCCATGGGATAGAGTTCGTATTAACTATCCCTTGACATCGCCGACCAGCTGCACGATTGATTCAATGTTTGATCTTCTTTGATCTTCGAAACAATCCGCATTTGTCAAATACTACCTACCGGTACTACTCGAGTACCAGTGGATTTCTCCTCAAAACATGTTACTAGCAGACCATCAACATTTCTGAATGTCATCTGTCACATCTCTTTCTAATTCTATCTAAACCACATTCTTCAACAGTCTTATCCACTGCTACCGGGTCATCCGTTATACGTTTTGCTTTACATACTGGTTCGGTTCCTAGCACTTTCATATTCTTCATTTGACAACTGATTGTGACCAAGGCAATCGGAGAATTAAAAGGCTTGTTCTAGCCTGTATCAGCTTTTACCGAGTTGTAATTTCATGTGTTAGTTTCATATCTAAGCACAGCTGTTTGTCAGTATCGTATGGGCTTTCGAGCTTCCTCCAATATACTGGTTCTGGACAATCACAATAACTTGTCCATTTCCTCGATTTTTCTTTTTAAAGCTTTGATTGAGAAATTGAAAGGTCGTTTGTGAGATCTAAAGGAAAATAAGTTTTCAGTTAGACTTATTGTTATATCAAGGGTTCATCTTGTTACAAGATAGACAAGGAAGTGAAGGTATATCAAGATGGTATACTGTGGCAAACCTTCACGGGGCTGCCAGATGTGTAGAACTCGACGAATAAAGGTGCGATCTTTTTGTCATTCGTCCAGGAGAACTTTTTAGAAAGCTAATATCATACTCATAGTGTGATGAAACCAAACCGACTTGCCTCCAGTGCCAGAAATCTAGACGACAATGTCCAGGATACAAGGATGACTTTGATCTTGTCTTCCGTAATGAGACGATAGCTACAGAAAGACGGGCGAGACGATCATTTAAGAATAAGAAGGGTAACAATAATAATATCCATGTCAGATCAGGGAATGGAGATCGCAAGGTTTCAACTGTGTCTAGCGCGAGCTCTGCTGATGCCAAAATCATGTATTCAACGACTGGAATGGATCTAGCCAAGATTGAATCCGACAACGACCCTTCATCATCAGATGCATTGGGATTACAGGTGGCGTTCACTAGTTCTATCGAACAACAAGCGCCATGTTATTTCATGTCAAATTTCGTCATAATACCACAAAGTGGACAGATACGAGGCTCCTTTGACTGGGTCTTGCCATTAATCAAGACGGAGCCTCCGGCCTCGGCTTTATCACTCTCTTTCCAAGCTGTAGCAATGGCTTCTTTGGCAAACAAACCAAATGCGAGAGGAAGTAATCTGATGCATTCGGCCATTGACCAATATGCAAAGGCCTTGAAGGTTGTTAACTTGGCGCTACAAAATCCAGTGCAGCAGAAAAGTGATCAGACGTTGGCTTCTATTATATTACTGGGGTTCTTTGAGACTATCACGCAAGAGAAAACTAGTATTACGGCTTGGGGTTCACATATCGATGGGGCTGTACAAATCGTGAAGATGAGAGGCAAGAAGCAGTTAAGGACGAAAGTTGGTGTTGCTCTATTCCAAAGTGTTCGAGGACAAATGGTAAGTTCTGAACACTGCCCCCTCATATTAGCGGGGTTGATACTAACATCAAGCCAGCTTGTGAACTGTCTTTCTTCATCCAAAACCCCCTTGCTAGGCACAGACTGGTGGTGTGCTGATGCGCCAAAAAATGAAGGGGCTGCTTCCGTCAACCGATTAAATCTCCAAGTGGCCGAACTCCGTGGCGATTTAAATAGAATACTCACGTCACATCCCCGGTCCGCGGAGACCAATGAATTAGTCAACGAGATCAGGACTCGTGCTATCGAATTAGGGCAAGAGTATCAAAAATGGGAAGAAACACAAACGAAGCAAACCGTCGCATGGGTGGACAATATCCCCGGCGGTGATATCACCAAAGCAGATGTATGTCCTGGACGAGTGGACCTCTATGCAGATGTGTTCGCCTGCTCAGCATGGAACTTCTCCCGTGTATCGAGGATCTTCATCGCGGCAATAGTAATCCGCTGTGCAGCGTGGAATTGCTACCCCGTGGACTATCGCACGACGCCGGAATACGCGCAAATGTCGAGGCTGGGCCAGGAAATGATTTGTGATATTATTGCTTCGGTTCCGTTTATGTTTGGTTGGCATTTGGATGCTGAGGGTCGATTGAAATCGGAGGATGTGATGGGTGGGGGAGAGGATGTTATGGGTGTGAAGGCTCTTGGAGGGGTTTATACAATATGGCCGTTGTTGTCGGTCAGTTGTAGTGATTTTACTACGGACTCGCAACGATTGTGGGTCAAGGGACGGTTTAAGTTTATCTCGGAGGTTATTGGGTTGAATCAAGCAAAGGTTGTTGGCTGTGTAAGTCTTAATTTTGTTTTCTATCCATCTTTCCCCCTTTCCTTTCCTTATTCTTTACTTTCTCCCCCCTCCTTCTATTCCTTCTTATCTTTCCTTCCCATCTATATCGAGAAATGATACAAACTAACACCCCCAAAGCTCCAACTCCGACTCCCATCCATGATCGTTCGCCGCGATAACATGGGCTACGCACCCCCCAACGCAGTAAACTCGGTCCGCCCCCTAGGCAAACCCGCAATTATGCCCACACTGCCCTCTTCACTCTCCTCCCTCACATTCCAGCAACGAGAGGCTATGAAGAGGGAAATGTGGGAGAGGGAACGCAAAGTCGCTATGGAGAAAATTAGGGAGGAACAGATGGTGCAGGCGCGGGGAAATGGGAGGGGCGTGTGTGGGGTTAGTGCGGTGGGTGCGTTTGTGAATGGGAATGCGAATATCGGGTATGGGTATGGGAATGCGAATGCAAACGGGCTGGGAAATGTTATGACGCAGTATCAGCAAGGTAATTATGGGATGGGTGGGACAGGAAATGCAGGGGGAAATGGCAATGGGAATGTGAATGGAGTGTCGAAGACGGGAGAAGTAGGTTGGAAGGGGAGTACTGAGCAAGGGAAGAAGTATGCGTGGTTGGAGGGGTTGGGGTGGTGGGAAACTGTTATTTGATGGAGGAGGAGGAGGAGGGAGGGGGTGAGAGACCGAATATGGGATGGGATGGGATGTATTGGCGAGGGAGGGGTATGGTATGGATGGTTGGAAGGAAGGAGTTTATCGAATATCATCTATCTGCATGCATATTAGCATGGCATGGTATGGCATCGGAACAGCAATATGCACAGGCACAGGAATTGAAGCGAAACGAAGCTAGGAGCCAAGCAAGGTTCTAATAGGATATGATAGGATGGGATGGATCAGCAAGGCGTCTGTCTGTTTTTTTGTTACTTTTTTTATTTTAAAGGATTCACATCTCTTGGTCTATACGACACGAGTACGGTGGCAAATCTTTTTGATATGATGTTTAAGGTGCTGATGGACTTTTGGGAAATGAGGGGAGGAAGGGGAGAAGGGGAAAAGGGGAAGGGAGATGGGTATGTTATTTACAGTATAGTACTACAGTATATATAGTATAGTATGCTCCATAGTATGGGATATATAATAACCATCATTTAGCGGAATGGAATTGCTTTTATGTACGTATAGTGCAGTACAGTATAATACAGTACAATATTGATAAACAAGTGTTTAGAAAATAGTAGAAAGAAGGTAGTTTTATCGAAAAATCGAAGAAAAAATATAAAATTATAGATAGTTCTTACATATGAGTACATGCATACATTTAGCTGTTATGTTTGTATATCATAGCATAGCAAAGCATAGCATAGCATAGCATTGGGAAAAGAGAGAATAGTCTGGGATACTTTATTGTATAAGTTCTATGGGAAACAGAGAAGAGAGGTTGGATATTTATGGAGTAATGTAGTATACATCGGCTCAGGAAACTAACTTGTGAGCTAGCTTCCTGTACCGATTAAGGTTGTATCACCTATTCATTATAAATTCGAGTTTTGGATTCTTTGATGACATGTGAAATACGAATATTGTAGTATAAATCTGTGGATTGGTTTGCCATATAGGAACATCGGAGAAATTCGTGAGTCTTCTATTATGAGTATTCATAGAACCTGAATGTGAAATAGCCTAGAAACAAGAGAAAAAAGTTGGGTAGGTGTATGAAATTCAGCTCATGAATGCCCTATCCGTGCCCATATCCCGTCCTGGGTTCTGAGCAGCCATAAGGTGTGTTTGTTGTACAGTAATGCAGACGAAAAGGGGACTGCAATTCGAAATATCCGAGAAACGCCCCGTCCGTTCCCCAGATCCCATGTTCTGCACAGCTAGACGACATTGACTGTCATTCAGATGACACTCCCTAATCTCAAAGGAGGTCCTGGACGAGACGTTGAAGAAGATGAGAACTGTTATACAAATGCGAAGAAATAGATTGGGGTATCAGCGAGATTTGTGCGCGCTGATTTATTTGTTGGAAGAGGTGCGAGAATGTCTAAGAGGGAAGGTGAAATGTCAGCAAATTTCTTTTTGAATTCTTGGCGCATTTCGGTGTTGAGTTGGGGAATAGGGAGAACGGTAAGAATGAGAGAATTGAAGCATAACTGTGATCTCTAATTCATCTCACTTACTACCTCTCCCGGCGCATTGAAAAAGAAGACCAAACTCACGGTTTCCTAGCTTCAACGTTTCCACCATTCCCATTCCCATTCCCATTCCCATTCTCCTTATTCCATCCAAGCCTTGATTGATAGGCAGGCCACGTACTTAAATTCCAAGCCTTAACCAAAAACCCTTGAGTTTTATCCACGTAACTCTCATTCTTCAACTCTTTGACTCCGACTTTGAGACCATCTTTTGTGAAAGACATATTCTTGGAGGCCATCTTGTCAGAGGCCGATTTAGATACTTGTTGGGTGACAAGGTAGACTTGGTAGCCGACGAAAGCGAATGCGCCGAGGACAATGAGGAAGATTAGGAGGGGGAGGAGCTTGCTATTGTTGAAGAGTGACATGGTTAGTCATATGTTTGATATAGTTCTACATCTCCAAGTATATTGAGACAGAGAAAGATGGAAAAGGAAAAGGTTTGGTTGGTTGTTTGGTTGGTATAGAGAAGGGATGTGATGAATTTGAAGACAAAGAGATATATTTCCTCTACATAACATACCTTAATGCAGAGCGGGGTGGTGGAAGGGGCTTTGATGAAGATCCCCAGGCCATTATTAATTTTTTGAGATGGAGAAATAGGATTTATTATGGGTATAAAACAAGTAAAACGTTGTCTTTCAAATATGGACAAAAACAATTGAGAACCACAAATTGTAGATCAGAATCCAAAAATCTGGGGAGGGTGTTGGGAGGGAGGTAAATAAATAAGTTTCAAATGAAGAGAGTTATATTACTATATTAGTAGGTAATCTAGGATGTTTTATCCTGGTTATAGAGGGATTCTGGATTTGCGCAGCATGCTGGGGGGTCTTAATTTGTGATTCCAACTTTAGGGGGTCATAGCGCAAGATAGCCCCGGATAACACTGTAAGACATACCTATACTGTACACGTGATGCTGAGGGACAAATGTTTTGGTGAGGAAAGGGCCAGGATTTCTTTTTGAGAGACAAGACCAAACGTTTGTATCTCAACATTTTCATACCCATATCATACATAGATCAACTCAATTTCATGAGTGTCTTGATCCATAATCTTTGAATCTTCTCTTATCGACTAAATTACCCCTTAGTTTTTTTACGAACTATTCGGATCTTATCTGACTAGGAAGGACTTTACTTCGCAACGTGTTCCTTGAAATTACGTAGATTGACTTGACAGTTTCAATAATCGACCTGACCCACGAACAATACACTATCGAGTAGCTTTCAAGGACAACTAGACTACTAACCTTCTTGCGCCATTGCCGCACCGCTTGAACTCCATAAGCGTCGTAGAGATTTAAAGCAATAGCAACTATGGCGGCACCACAAGATGGATATTCGGGCCAAGCTTACCCCCCCAGATCCATACGCACAGCAAAGTCCCGCGCAACCAGGCTTTGAACAAGAAGCGACATCTCCCTCACAAGCTGGACCTCCAGGAGCAGATGCAGGAAAGAAGAAGAAGAGGGGTTATGCGACACAAGCTTATGATTTCGGACAAGGTGCGAATTCGGCTCTAGGAGGACAAACACAAGGCGGTGCTCAATTCCAACCTGCACAAGCACCTGCTGCATATGGCGGTTATCAAGCACAGCCTGAACCCGTAGCTGCATATGGAGCTCCACAGGGTGGCATGGCTGCGGCTCCTCAAGGGGGTTTTGCTCAACCGCAGTATGGCGGCGGTGTGGGGGGGTTATCAGCCTCCTGATGCTGGATACCCAGGCCCAGGTGCGCCTATTTCTCCTGGCATAGCGGGCATTACACAGGGAATGGGACAATTGGGAACGGGTGGACCACAACAACCTATTGCAGCTCAGGCTCGTCCTGGTGCTCCGGCTCAGGTTGCTTTGAATCAGCTTTATGCCACGGATCTCACCAGCCAACCTTTCAATGTTGCAGAGTTAGATTTACCTCCTCCTCCGATCATTTTACCTCCAAATGTAAGTTCTGAACGTCTATTTTTTGGGATGTTGTGCTAATGTATAAATAGACAAGTGTTACCCCTTCCCTCAATGCGAATTGTCCACCGAAATATGTTAGATCGACTTTGAATGCCATTCCGACTACCAATTCTCTCCTCAAGAAATCGAAGCTTCCTTTCGCATTAGTCATACAACCATATACTTCATTGCACGATATCGACGATCCTGTGCCAGTTGTTCAAGATCAAGTTATTTCACGTTGTAGAAGATGTCGTTCCTACATCAACCCATATGTGTCATTCCTCGATCATGGCCACAGATGGAGATGTAATATGTGTAACCTCACAAACGATGTCCCACAAGCTTTCGACTGGGATGCAGCTGCACAACAGAGTGTTGATCGATGGCAACGACCGGAGCTCAATCATGCAGTTGTGGAATTTGTTGCACCACAGGAATACATGGTTAGACCTCCACAACCGCTTGTCTATCTCTTCTTGTTCGATGTCAGTTTTGCTTCTGTATCTTGTGGCCTGTTAGCTACGAGTGCTAGAACTATTCTCGACAGTCTTAACAGGATACCAAATGCGGATCGAAGAACTCGAGTTGGGTTTATGGCTGTAGACTCCAGCTTACATTACTTCCAAGTTCCAAAAGACACAGATGAAAATGGAGAGACGAATATGCTTGTAGTCAGCGACTTGGATGAACCTTTCCTTCCGGTCCCTCAAGAGCTATTGGTTCCATTATCTGAGTGCAGGTTGAATGTTGAGAAATTCCTGACGACTCTTCCTCAAATGTTCCAGACCAATACAAACAACGGATCATGTATGGGATCAGCTCTCCGTGCTGGCCATAAGCTGATCTCGCCTCTTGGTGGAAAGATTGTGGTCATCACTGCCTCATTACCTAATGTCGGATATGGCAAATTAGAGATGCGTGAGGATAAGAAGTTGTTGGGTACCTCGAAGGAGAGTGGCCTGTTACAGACAGCCAGCAGCTTCTACAAGAGTTTTGCGGTAGAATGTTCGAAGAACCAAGTTTCTATCGACATGTTCTTATTCTCATCGCAATATCAGGATGTTGCTTCCCTTAGCAATCTTCCAAGATACACTGGTGGACAAACCTACTTCTACCCCGGATGGAACGCCGGGAGAAGCGAGGATGCTATCAAATTCGCCACAGAGTTCAGTGATTACCTTTCTGCTGAGATTGGTCTCGAGGCTGTGTTACGTGTTCGTGCTACCACTGGTCTCCGAATGAGCACTTTCTACGGTAATTTCTTCAACCGAAGTTCGGATCTCTGTGCCTTTCCGGCTTTCCCTCGTGACCAGAGCTATGTTGTTGAAGTCGCCATCGATGAGTCTCTTACGAAGTCTTTTGTCTGCATGCAAACTGCCGTCTTGCATACTACAAGTAATGGGGAACGTCGTATTAGAGTCATGACTTTGACATTGCCTACCACAACTACTCTCCAAGATGTTTACGCATCGGCCGATCAATGTGCAATTACTACTTACTTCAGTCACAAGGCTGTCGAGCGTGCATTGAGTGGCGGACTTGAACCTGCACGTGAAGCCCTTCAATCCAAATTGATTGAGCTTCTTCAAACGTTCAAGAAGGAGCTTGCGGGTGGAAACATGGGTGGCGGTGGGCTTCAATTCCCAGCAAATCTCCGCGGATTACCCGTTTTATTTCTTGGTCTTATCAAGAATGTTGGACTTCGAAAATCGGCTCAAATTCCTTCGGATCTGAGATCTGCGGCTCTTTGCCAATTGTCTACACTCCCTCTTCCGCTCTTGATGCAATACATCTACCCACGCCTTTACTCATTACATGACATGCCCGACAATGCCGGTATCCCCGACCCTGAAACAAATCAAATCGTCCTTCCACCTCCTATGAACCTTTCCTCGGAACGTCTCGTCCCATTCGGTCTCTACCTCATCGACGATGGCCAAACACAATTCCTCTGGGTAGGACGCGATGCCGTTCCACAACTTCTCGCTGATGTCTTTGATATTGCTGATCGATCGAAACTCAAGGTTGGGAAATCAACTCTACCGGAACTGGATAATGATTTCAGTGAGAGAGTCAGAAATGTGTTCCAGAAGGCGAGAGATTATAGGAGCAGAGGCGTAGGTAGTATTGTGGTGCCACATTTGTACGTTGTGCGCGAGGATGGTGAACCAAGTCTGAAGTTGTGGGCTCAGACGCTATTGGTGGAGGATAGGGCGGATCAGGGAATGAGCTTTCAGCAGTGGATGGGGGTGATGAGGGATAAGGTTAGTTCTTAAAATGTGGATGGAAGGATGGAGAAAGGGGGAAGCAGGGAGTGAATGTATCGATGGATAATTGAATGAATGGATGGATGGAGAATGCACTGAGCGAAAAGAATGCTGTGGACAGTGGGATAGTGGGAGCGAGGGGAGTCATGCATACATGGAGAGGAGGCATTAATTTATGCGCTAACTAAGGCTTCTTCTGATTATTTTTGCAGCAGAATTCAGTAAGTAGGTCAGTTCAGGTCAGGTCAGCTTGGTTTGATTCAAAAATGATTCAAATGAAAAAATGAAAATTTCTATTTATTCTTGTTCTTCTCTTTCTCTTCACTTGTGATTGATGTTTGTGTTTATGTTTGTATTTGTACTTGTATTTGTATTAGCATATCTCGTCGGTCGGTTACTTGATGAGCTACTGCTACTCCCATGCTTTATTATTATTATTAAGGTAAGCTAAGTTACCTAAGCTGGATTTTGTACTCGAGTATGACTTTTGAGATTCTGAGATTTTGAAATTCTGAGAATGAACATGAACATGATGGGTTTGGACATTGAGCTTTTATATGTGGAGGGAGATTTTGGAGATATTGGAGAGATTGATTGGATGAGATATTGGATAAGAAGATAAAAGGAGAAGAGGAATTTAGAGAAGAGTGGTTTAGAGATAGAGATAGAGATAGAGATTCTGGTGAGTGGTGGGGATGGGATTGTATTGTATTGTATAGTATTGTATTATGGTATTTAATGTTATCGTCTTTGAGGTGTGGTGTTGTAGGATAGTAGGAGAGGCAGTAGGTAAGTTTTTAGTTTGTTTTGAGGGAGGAAGGATGAGTGAGGAGCTTTAGATGGAAAGTGTCAATGTCAATGTAGATGTAAATGTAAATGATCAGGCTTTAGACTTTAGTTTTTCGATTTTTTTTTCTCTCGGTTTGATTGGATTGGATTGGATTGGATTGAGTTATGTGAGGGAGTGGGATGGAAGGGTAAAGGGGGGGTTATGTTAGGTTAGGTTAGGTGGGATTAGAGGTCTGGTGGTCTGGTGGTTTGGTGGTTTGGTGGTTTGGTTTGTTCCCCGGGGAGGGAAGGGGAATAGCTTGGGAAGGGAATATAATGGGAGTGGAATGGGAGTGGAATGGGAATATGGTAGAGGAATGGGAGTAATATGGTAAAGGAATGTAGTAAACTGCTGTTTGAAGGAATTGATGGTGAAGGGGATTGGAGTGGAGTAGACTGCTGTTGAGGATATGGATGGTGTTCATGGTATCAATGAAATTGATATACGAGTAAAATAAGAAATTCGAAACAGAACCCAAGAAATGCTTGGTGAGGTGAGAGGAACGATGAAGGGATAATGCTAGGAGGTTATCCAAAAAGGTGTTTCATCTGGTAAAATCTCAAACAAAAAAACGGGGTTGCTTGCTTGGGTGGCAGGTGAGCCGGTTGGTTAGGTATGCTTAAGGTAGGCAGGGTTGTGAAATGATTTGATTTGACTTGATTTTCTTTGTTTTTTTGGGTTTGGGTTTGGGGTTTGGGGTTTGGAGGCGAGGAATGTGATGTGATGTGATGGGTTGGTAGAGGTGGAGGTGGAGGTAGAGGTAGAGGTCAAAACGCTGACTAGGCTGGTTGGGCTGGGGGGATGGGAGGGGAGGGAAGAGAACTGAGGGAGGCAGCTTTGATAAATGGATGGTATTGATGAGGCTCTTTGATCTTGGGACTAGGGTTTATTGTGCTGCATGATGCCTGATGACTGATGAGGAGCTTGGGGTGAGTTGGTAATGGTGTGTGGTGTGGTGTATAGTGTGTGATGTGTAATATATACCTAGTATGTAATGGTTAGGTATGCATTGGAATGAGATGAGATGTGATGAGATGGGTAAAGTAGAATTTCGAAATGCTGTGGTGATGATAGTGGTAGTAGGTGAGTGAAAGTAACCTTAAGGTTGGCGATCAAATCACGGGCCATGTGGATAAAAAGTTAATTCAAAGGGATCGGGATCCATACTCGAGTAGGGCTGGATGTCAATGGATGGATGGATGGATGGATCTATTTAATTTATGTGAAATTTGTTTGGGTTCTAGATAGGAGGGAAAGCTATGGGAGAGGAGATAGCTGGTGAGCTGAGCTGTTCTTTGGAAAGAGATTGAGGGAGAGGAAATGAAACGAAATGGGAGATATAATAGCTATATTAAGTATTATAGTGAGTATTCCAAGTTCGTTAGGTCAGTCAGTTCCTCTGTTATGAATGGAGATATGGTAAGTCTTTCTTTGGAAGATGAGAGGAAATGAAATCAGATATAATGGCTGTATGAACCCATTATCAATTCACGAATATCAAGTCGTATATAACCCAAATAGATGCGGATCTTGACTTTGTCCCTTGAAGGATAAGCTTAATAGAGCATCAAAGAAGTTACTCGTACTATTTTAGTACTGTGTAACCCAAATCATTTTGCTTACACTCATACCTATATGGAAATAAAATATCACTCATTCTCACAACTAACTCACTTATCATTGGCTCAAGAGGTTGTGATATCAACAGTTTTAAGTGTGATCTTCCCCTGTGCCGTGTGAAACAGACACATAAGCGAATGAATGGTTTGGTGTTGATGTGATGGGATTAAGATTTTAAGATTCCGGCTTGGGCGCTTAGATCAAAAGATTTGAGGCCTGAAGCGTACAAAATTAAAGATTCATTCATTCATCTTGATATTGATTGGGAAATATACTGTATGTACTCGACTCGAAGTCTCGAACACATACTTACTCGAGTATTGTTTTCTATATACTTATAAGCAATATTCTCGGGTGTCCCTGAATTTTGACATTGACATTCACTTTGACTCTGACTATGATTTGGAGTTGATTTTGACTTGACTTGACTTGACTTTGACTCTGACTTTGACCCTTACTACCTTAGCCTTGAGTCCATCCCAGCTCCAATAAAATAAGCTCCCAATCAGCACTTGCACCACTACTCCCCTCACTCAAAACCTCTACCCGTGCTTTACCTCAACAACACCCACCACCCACCAACCCAATCACCCAAAACTTCATACCACTTGTAACTAGGGATCTTAACACTATTATTGTCATCTATACTTTTCTGACTTTCTCATCTAAAGTTCTAAATCTTTCATTTCTTCCAGATATAATTCTCGACTCTACAAACAACTTTGTACTGAGTTCAAAGATCGAAACTGACCTCTCAAAAGAAGAAACCTCATCCTTGTAGCGGGGCAATCTGAACGTCTTGGTCTGGAACACATATTCAAAAGATTACAGGTACAATATATCTCCTCTTCAACAGTTAAAATATATCGGATGAATTGTTTTCAGTCTTCGTATTCAATTTCCGTATTTGTTAGAAGAAGTCTTATATTGTTCTGGAAGCTTTGGAACTTTGAGGTTGGTCTCAAAACAAGAGAAGGATTTGCGAAGGCAGGACAACAAGCAACTCGGAACTAACTCTTGTCCTTGTGAGTACAGATAAACCACGATATCACGACCTTTTCAACGACTTTCCTCTCTACTAGATAATCACAGCTTATTGTATTCTGGTATTTACGACTCTGCTGGACTGAATCAAAGCTGCGACAAGCCAAAGATATTCTTTACCTATACAACAGGACCGAGCGCAAGAAGGCGTAGTGTTTAGGGGAACGACATTCACAATTCAATATCACAAACGATTCATCAATCATCAACTCAATAGCTTGTTGTCTTTATACACATTTAGCTCTCGAGAATTCTCTACAAAAGACAAGAAAGTCTTGTAGCTGAAAGAATATTTGAAGAGTCAGTCAAGAATCAAACCATACTTTGCTTTGACATCGCTTGGAACATCCGCAACAAACGACAACAAAGAAAAGTTTCCAGGCTTCTGCACTTCTAATTGCAACAAAACAAAAATAGCATTCTTCGACTTTAGCTCTTGCTGTTTATTCCTGTAACCATTCAGCAAAGCTGTCTATTAGCTGTTTATAACTGGTAGCCAAGTCTCCAGTTTTTCAATTTCACAGTATACGATCTTCTTGCTTCATATACCCATTATCGCACAATGGCAGCTCGTGCGCCTAATCCCCCTTCGGGATCATCACGAAAGATCTCCTTCAATGTCAGCGAGCAATATGATATACAGGATGTTGTAGGAGAGGGAGCTTATGGTGTTGTCTGGTATGCCACCCCCACCTTGTTACTCGTACAATTTCTACATCACTCGACCGGAAACCGAGGGAAGGTACTTGCAGAACATGAAGAGGTGCTAATTAAATTTCTTTACAGTTCAGCTTTGCATAAGCCTTCGGGGCAAAAGGTTGCCATCAAGAAAATCACCCCATTCGATCATTCGATGTTCTGTTTGCGAACACTGCGCGAGATGAAGTTACTTCGGTACTTCAACCACGAGAATATCATCTCTATCCTCGACATTCAAAAGCCCAGAAACTATGAATCCTTCACCGAAGTTTACCTCATCCAGGTATGTAAATTGGTGGTATTGGCTGGGGATTAAACGGTGTGCTAATGCAAATCTAGGAACTCATGGAGACCGATATGCACCGTGTAATTCGCACACAGGATCTATCCGACGATCATTGCCAGTACTTCATCTATCAGACCCTCCGAGCCCTGAAAGCTATGCACTCAGCAAATGTTTTACACAGAGATTTGAAGCCATCTAATCTATTGCTCAATGCCAACTGTGATTTGAAAGTCTGCGATTTTGGTCTGGCTAGATCGGCTGCATCTCAAGAGGACAACTCTGGTTTCATGACTGAATATGTTGCGACCAGATGGTACCGTGCCCCGGAGATTATGTTGACATTCAAGGAGTATACCAAGGCCATTGATGTATGGTCTGTGGGGTGTATTTTGGCCGAGATGTTAAGCGGAAAGCCCCTATTCCCCGGAAAGGATTGTAAGTGAGATTTGTAAAGGAGTGATGTGCCGTACTAATAATATACAGATCACCATCAACTCACACTCATTCTTGATGTTCTTGGCACCCCAACAATGGAAGATTACTACGGCATCAAATCTCGTCGTGCAAGAGAGTATATCCGATCATTGCCGTTCAAGAAGAAGGTTCCTTTCAAGACTATGTTCCCTAAGACCTCGGATCTCGCACTAGATCTCCTCGAGAAACTTCTCGCATTCAACCCAGTCAAGAGAATTACTGTCGAGGAAGCACTAAAACACCCATACCTCGAACCATACCATGACCCCGAAGATGAACCTGTCGCCAACCCCATCCCCGAAGAATTTTTTGATTTCGACAAAAACAAGGACAACCTCACCAAGGAACAACTCAAACAATTGATCTACGAAGAGATCATGCGATAGACTTTGATTTCACTTTTAAATTTGCTTCGGATATCCTTTATCGCACTATTTGGAAAACGTAAATCTTGAAATATTGATTATTCTGGTCCTAGAAAGAGAGTGCTCGTGGAATGGACTTTCGAAGATTTGAGGTTGTACTTGCAATTTTCTATTCAGAACCGACATTATCTCGCCTCACTTGACGAAACAATCTCTGCTTGAATTGTCGCCATGAAAGGGAGAGCCTTAAAATTATCCAGGCTCTCATTAAGAAAGGGTGAGATGCGATGGGTATAAAACTTGCATATGAGTTGGATAGCCTGAGGTGATAAGGCAAAGGGGAGACTCAAAGAGCATTTTTCATTAATTTACAGGATGGATTCAGACGGATGGAAACTAGTCGGGGTGATATCATTTGAGATGATTTGCAAGCGAGATGGGATGGACATTATGATGGCATGAGATGATGTTACGTACAGCTTTTTTTTTTTTTTTACAGATGCTAGGTTCTTATTTCACAAAGGTTTTATACATTATGGTGTTTACTATTATTATGTCTGCATGCGAATGGGTGCTTTCTTTCCCCATCATTCTCTACTCTGTTGAGAAGGTTAAGTGGCAAGTAGGTGGTAGGCTTCTATTGCGACAAGTGTATGTATGTATGGCGCATCGGCAGGAGCACCATCTTCTAACGGCAGACGCGAATTGCTACCTCCTTCATCAACATTGATTCCAGCTCATCATATCTGCGACTATTTGAGGGCATATCATCTTTCTCTGGTATATGAGTTTGTCGGTAGGGTAGGAAGAAACGAGACTAACATTTGTGTTTGTGGGTAGAGATATGATATAGTGAGTGAGATATAGTGATTTGAGGAGGAGAGAAGGTATCGGATATCAATAGCGCCTCCATGTCGATAGACGGTCGTTATGGTCGGAGTAGTAAATTCATTGTATTCGAGTACTTCCTCTCTAGTATATCTATATCACATTGATGGATTGTTTCCTGTAACCATAACCATAAAATCCTCCAAGAAACGCACACTTTAAACACCCCCCTCCATCTCCCTCTCCAATACACCCAATGTATTAGATCGATAATCTCCTATAACCATATATAGCCATTACCATAAACTCCAGCAACACCTCCTCCAAGCAACCCCAAGCATCCCCACACTCAAGCACCCGCTTCCCTCTCCCTCTCCACTTCCCTCTCCACCTCCCCCCTAACCCTCGCCTCCCACCCCTCTCTCCAAACCCGATCTAACGCCTCCACCCGTCCCCCCAACACAACACACGTCTCCTTCTCTAACCATACCAAGCCCCTACAAACTCGCGTTCCGCGCCGCAACATCATCTTGCTCCCTATGTGCATTATGGGCGGGAAACCGATTTGGAGGGCTGTGTTTGCGGTTGGGGGGGTGGTGGATGTAGAGATGTATATGCCGTAGATGAGGGCGCCGGTGTGGTCTTGGAGGAGGAGTTTGAAGGGGCCGGGGGAGGAGGTTTGCTGGTTTTGATTTTGATTTTGATTTTGCCGGGAAAATTGCGTAGAAGCAGAAGATCCAAGATCAAATTGTGAAGGCTGCGAAGGCTCATCAAGAACACGAATGACCTCGCGACCGGAAACGCGCTCGCCAAGTCGCTCGGATTGTAAAGCGAGTAATAAATCACCCTTGGAACGGCCAATGTCGTGGATATCGAGGACTTGGACGGGGATATCGAAGGGGAGGAGTTGGGTTTGAAGTAAGGGGTTGGAGAGGGAAGGGGGGAAGGAGTGCGTGGTTGGGAGGAGAAAGTTGGGTTGGGTGAGGGGGGTGCAGAGGAGTCGGTGTTTGGTGGTGGCGAGGAGGGAGGGGAAGGGGGGAGGGTGGTGAGGGTGGTGAGGAGGTCGGAGGGAGGGGGGGGATAGGATGGGTAGGAGGAAAGCGGGGGTGGGGAGTGGGAAGTGTGAGGTGCTGAGGGTGCTGAGGAGGAGGGGGGGATGGGGATGGGGATGGGGATCGAGGTGGGGGGTGGATGGTGGTTCATTTTGAGATGAGAGGGTTGGATGAAACTTGGATGGTGAAGAGGGAAATTAACCTTAATAGTACCGGTATTGAATTAATAACAGGAAATCAATATTGTATGGCGTATCCCAGAGACGATATGTGCAAGAGACATGTCATGTCGTGAGAAGACTGCGATGTTGAATCTGTAAATTATCTGCGAATGAAGTGAAATGAAATGAAACAAAGTAAGTAGCCTTGCTTATACATTGAATAACGTAGCCTTACGAGTGCTCGGACCATCAGGCTAAGTTAGCCCTGACATGGGTCAAAGCGCACCGGAAGGCTCTTGAGTTCATCTACTCCCGGTGAGCTTCTGCGGAATGTAAACGCACCTCCCGAAGAGGAGAGTATCTATAAAAATATTATCATGTATGTATACCTCCCGGTGAGCCATTATTGATATTTGTAGATGGGGTCTTCGAAGCAATACCCCACCACCGTAAGACTTTGAGTTCGTGAATACATTGTCAACATAGGCGTTTGGAAAATCCAACCAATTCTCATATCATGCCTCGCATTTATTCGTATACAATATTAATATTGATGCTGTAAGAGGACTAATCTATATACCAGCCTCAATGATAATACTCATCTAACCCGCTAATAAGTACTGATCTCTCTAACGCTTAACTATGCTCCAAAAAACCCCATTTGTAATCTTCGAAGCCATTCATTTACATCAATTCGCAAGTCTTACTCTGCTGACACTGCTCATAATAACCCTCTTCCTCCTCCTTTCCTAACTTCATATTCTGTGGCCTCACCACCCCAGTAACTTTAATAGAATGCTCACCCTCTGCATGCCACCATTTAAGTCTCTGTATCATGCCTCCATCTTCATCATCCGTACTAATCGTCCATTTCCCTGCACTAACTTCAACATCACATTTATTTTTCGGGAAATGGAATTCGGGGAGGAAGATTTCAGTTGGCGTGTCTTCGGGGGCTGCTTCGCCAGCATGGAGTCGGAATGTAAAGATACAATTTCGGAGATCGAAGCCGTAACTAAGAATCTTACCAGCGGTTGCGATGGGCGATGGGCGAACGTAGGCTTCGGCGGCTCGGTAACCAGGTGAATTGGTGAGTTCAGGGGGGCTATCAGTTTGCTTCGACAAAATTGAGGGAGTTTTCAATGTTGCTTTTAAATTACCTGGGTTTACAGTTGACTCGTCTGAGTTTTGTTGTTTGGTATTGGGTCCATCCCTATGGTCTACCAGTGATGAGCTTGATGAGCTAGGTGTTGGCGGATTGGATTCGAGCGGTAGTGGTAAATCATCCAAGGAAAAAATTGAAAGATCCTCGCCATTCCATTGATCGCCGAGCGAATGTTTGTTCTGCAGATCATTAGTATAAATCGATTTGACAGGATCCTGGTCACTTACCGCGCACATATAAAGCCAAAGGGTGTATCCGGCCATAGAACTTCCTTCTACGGCGAAGTGATTTGCATCCATGGCCCCTGATTGACTAGAATAATCACCAGTCTTGTAAGCATACTTGTCATCCATGTCATAGGGAATACCAAATTCAGTCAAAACACATGGATGATTTCCCATATAATCCTCACCCTCTTTCCTAATAGCCGAAAGTTGGTCACGGAAACAATTCCTGATTGCTGTCTCTCCTAACTTTATAGCGAAGGCAGGACTAAGATATCGACCTCGCAAGATGCCGAAGACATCAACATTCCAATAACGATTCCACTTTTTGGTCATAAGAGTGACTCCGTCATAGTAATGAGGCGCATATACCATGAGAGGATCGTCGTCCTTGGTACCCTTGATTGACGGAGGTATTTCCAATACTGGAGGCTGACAGAATAAAATCGAGTCCTTGTGATGAGCTCTGATAGCATCTCGATGTTTTCGATAGTAATCCATGTAGTATGAATTTGTGAACTCTTCGTAGCTAAGTTCTTGCCCGGTTCGTGGATTTTTATTGAAGTAATCTTTCTTTAACAAGGTATCTGTTGATGGGTCCCATACGCCATGCTGAGCCCAGATACACTCCCCCAGCTTCCAGCCAGGGTCTCTCTTGTAGCTGTATCTCGACTCATCATAATCAGCTGGTAGCCATGTTGTCTCTCCTTGAGGGTCAACAAGAACTCGACCAGATTTATATGGCCCCATCCCTCCAAAATCCCAGGTATCTATCTCACATGCTCTTCCGGATCCAGTCAACATGGCTTGGAATGCAGTTGGGGATGTTCCTTTTTGTAGTTTCTGCTCGCTCGGAATGGCAGAAATATCCGGCCAACCCACAAGCCCTCGGTTGGGCTCGTTCATGCTTTCCCAGCCAATTACCACATCATTCTCGAGATCTCCTGCTTCGTGTATTCGTTTTGCGAGATGGGCGCAGGCATTTACGAAATGATCCTGAAGGTAATCCTGGATATTCTTACCATCAATGATACATTTCGGTGCAAAGTCCCGACCCGCGAAGAAAAACGTGAATATCGTCTGACATGCCAAGCGGGTATAATTTGTAGACCAAATCATCTTAGGGAAGTTATCAGGATCCGGATATGTATTGTGTACAACTGCCGCTTCTGTCACAGCGAACTTTTCAGGATCGAGTCCGCAGGCATAGAGCGTCCACATTGGAGCCCCTGATCCACCGGAAAACCTTGACCACTACTTTGTTAGTTTTGTAAGAATTGAAAGGATGTATACTTACGACGTCCTGATGGGGGTCCATGAAAATGTAGAAGCCATAACTTTTTGCTAGCCGCAGGATTTCAATGGTGTGTTGAATCCATTCTTCATCATATATGCCTGGCCCTGCCGATTCTATCGCCTCCCATGTGAAAACATAACGTATCGTATTGTAACCCCAACGTTTTAATCGCGAGAAATGAATATGTGCATCCTCTTGGGGAAATGGGCGAGAACGGAAGTCAACATGATCTCCATTATAAAAGTCCTTAAGGATGTGCGACGGCTGGTCTGGATTGCTGGGATACTTGGCATCCCCAGCAACATTTATTCCACGAAGGGTAACTTCACGGCCATGTGAATCTCGGAAGAGACCATTCTCAATCGTGAGTCGGAGTGGTGACATCGTGTGAAGTGGTGTTTCGAGGACTGTTTCGAGGTAGGTTTAAGGATATTCCCTTTCCTAGTAAATAACTTCTGGCAGACAGTGCTTGACTACTTGCTTGCTTTAAAGTGGTATTAGTCAGGTTCTTCTTATCAATCAAAGTTGATTCACAATGCTTCTATATCTGTTGTTCCATATGTAGTATGGGATGAGATATCTTGTAGGTATGGAATTAATGAGGAAGTTATAGAATAGGAATAAAGAGAAACTACTACCTAGGTAAGTACATATATTCATGTACTTGGATTTTAAGTTCCTTAGTTCAATTAGAAGGAAGCTTAAGTTGCTGAGTTGTATTTGTCCGGGCAATAATGATGACGTCTGAGTGGTTGACAGCGGGTAGTCAGATTGTCTGACTATAACAGGGGTAAGTTACATCCAATAAGCATTCAGTAAGCAGTCCCCTGTTTCATTATCCATGATCCGACCCGGATAAGGCTTAAGAATTAACCCCACACTAAACGAGGACAAGGCTGTATCAAAATTAAATGATGCACCTACCTCAGTAGTCCAGAACTTACCTAGGTAGGTATTGCTTGCTTGATTTTCTAACACTTTCACATACCTGTATCTTAAATCTATATCATTGGGACAATTATGCCGATTAATTTCCTCAATTTACCAACATGTCAGGAACCAAAGCCACGTTGAAAGCTATAAATGCTGCCGTCAAATCTCAAAATTATGATGAAGCTATTCAACAAGCCCGGAATCTTCTCAATTCCGATCCAAAGAGCTACCAGGCGTAAGTTAAGCCACCTTCCCCCTCTCCTACCCCGCTACCAGTGACATATATCTGTACTCTTTCCAATGCTCATCTCTAATCTTTTTCCAGGAATATCTTCCTAGGATTTGCCTGTAGTAAACAATCGAATTACCCAGAAGCAGAAGGAGCTTACGATGCCGCAACCAAAATCAAAGAAGGAGAGCCACAAGCATGGCAAGGTCTTATTCAGGTATACGAGAAGCAAGGTGGTTCCAGAGTTGGACAATACCAGATTGCAGCTTTACAATTAGCTCAAATCTATCAAGCACAGGACGACAAATACAAGTGTCAAGATGTCATTGACAAGTTTCTTGCCTTCACCAAAAATCAAGGAACACGCCTGCAACATAGAAATTCTATGGAGATTATTCTACCTAATAGCCCAATATATGAATATTTGGAAGGCCGCGTTCCTCATCCTTCCCATACCTATCAAATCATAGCTCAGATCACCGAATTCGAAGAAAAAGAGCGCATTAACAAGGAAATCGGAGAACGAAGAACCAGATTAGGTGCCAAAATTAGTCAAGTGACAGTCGAAGTCAAACGAGAGGTCTTGAAAGATAGTAATTTAGAGGACGTCTACAACAAGATAATAGACTGGACAACCGATGATGAGATTCGTCGGCAATACGAAGAGAAACTTGTGCAAAGATGTCTAGAGGTTTTGATTATTCTTCCAGCGGGAGATTTGAAGAGAGAAAAACGCTCAAAACTATTCAAGCTGGCAACAGAGATGGTCATAATCAAACATCCGTACAGACTGGCCTGGGATGTTGCTATCGAGTGGCAAGACCCGGAATATGTACAAAGCTTGGATGTCAACATTCTGCGAGAATACATAGATTTCTTCCCTACGAGTGGTCTTGCTCAGGTTCTACGAGGATTCATGACCAGTGAAATTTCACCATTTCCAGCTCCACCACGACCTCCAGCTCCTCCCGCAAATAAGAAAAATCATGATGAAAGTAGTTCAGATGATGACGACGGCGGAGGGGTAACATTGGATGACTTTTCGATGCTTGCAGAAGATCGCCTGCTGCTCATGATAGAGGGCATGTCGGAATCACCCACATCAATATTGGCACATCGTCTCATGGGAGAGTACTATGACTTCATAGACGAGAGTGAAAGTGTGGTGGAACTTATGCGAAACGCAAAACGGCTTGCATTAGAAGAGTCCAATAAAATCGGCCTCAAGTTCAAAAATGCATCCCAAGCCTTTACTGCCTTGCTGGGTACTGCTCTCGTATTTTTCCAGTCACCTAGGAATCATCCAGAAGCAAAATCTCTATTTGATGAACTGCTCAAGGAAAATCCGACCTCAACTCCTGCTCTAATAGGAATTGGCTTGATTCATGAGGAGGAGGATGACTTCCCTGCCGCTATTGACTTCCTTGGACGTGCTTTACAACGGGACCCTACGAACGTTCGCGTAAAAGCTGAAGCCGCGTGGGTCAAGGCTCTCAATGGCGATTATCTTCGTGGACATGAAGAGCTGGAAGAGTGCTTACCTCTAATTGAAGCCAAAGATCTAAAATCTCGAGACTTATTGGCTCAAACGCAATATCGTGTGGGTATCTGCCTATGGAATATAGATACATCGAAATCTGCACGCAAGGACAGGAATGGTGCCTACTCATATTTCCTAGCATCACTAAAAAGTAACCTTAATTTCGCTCCAGCATATACTAGTCTAGGTATTTTTTACGCAGACTATTTGATGGACAAAAAAAGATCTCGAAAGTGTTTCCAGAAAGCCTTTGAACTTTCAACCTCGGAAGTAGAAGCTGCCGAACGCCTGGCTAGGATATTCGCGGGCCAGGGCGAATGGGAGTTGGTCGAATCAGTTGCTCAACGTGTTGTTAATTCAGGAAAAGTCAAACCAACACCTGGCTCGAAGAAGAAGGGCATCAGTTGGCCATTTGCTGCTCTTGGAACTGCTGAGCTGAATAAACAAGACTACTCGAAGAGCCTTGTTTCTTTCCAGTCCGCACTGCGCATCACACCTTCTGATTATCATTCCTGGGTTGGTCTCGGCGAAAGCTATCATAATTCTGGACGTTACATTGCAGCAACAAAAGCTTTCCATCACGCCGAACAATTTGAGAGTGAGATTGAACAAAGACAGGATGGTGAGACTTGGTTCGCGAAGCATATGCTCGCAAATGTGAATCGCGAGCTGGGAAATTTTGATGACGCCATCGAGAGCTATAGAGCTGTACTTCAAGATCGTCCCGCGGAATTTGGGGTTTCCATTGCTCTGATCCAAACTTTAGTTGATAGTGCTTGGGATAGCATCGAAAAGGGGCTTTTCGGACAAGCTGCCCAACGTGCAACAGAGGCTATTGAAGTTGCTAGTCAAGTTTCAGAAAGCAAAGTTGATGCTTTCAACCTCTGGCGAGCTGTAGGTGATGCTTGTGCTGTTTATTCTTGGGTTTGGAGTCGTGTCAATGAGTTTCCTGATGCAAACATTAGAAAATTACTCAAAGAGTGGGCCACTACTTATGATGTTTTTGCAGATATCGATGGTGTATCTGCGGATATCGTTTTTGCCAAGGGCTTATACTCTATCGATGAACAGGTCGGATTGGACCGAACTAGATGTCTCCACGCAGCAATTCTAGCCCACAAGAGAGCTATTCACGCTTCATCTCACGATACACACGCCCAAGCAGTTGCTTACTACAATCTTGGGTGGATCGAGCATCGTGCTCACGTTTGCCTATCCCCTAGTCTAAAGAAGAAATCCACCAGGTACCAAAAAGCCGCAGTGCGATGTTTCAAAAGAGCTATAGAACTAGAAGCAGGGAATTCGGAGTTTTGGAACGCGTTGGGAATTGTCACTAGCGAACTGAACCCAAAGGTTGCACAGCATTCTTTTGTTCGAAGTCTTTACTTAAACGAGCGAAGTGCCCAGACATGGAGTAATTTAGGAACACTATATCTATTACAGAATGATCATCAGCTCGCCAATGAGGCCTTTACAAGAGCTCAATCAACTGATCCAGATTACTCGCATGCTTGGATTGGACAGGGAATTCTTGCTCTTATGATGGGTGATGTAAAGGAGGCCAACCTTCTCTTTACCCACGCTATGGAAATCTCTGGATCGTCTTCTTTGATCACTCATCGACAATATTCCCAATCTACTTTTGATCAGATCTTGGCGCGCAAGAATATCTCCAACGTATCGGATTTAGTGCAACCTTTGTTTACCCTAAATCAAGTACAAGCGATGGCTCCAGGTGATCTAATCTCGAAGCACCTTTCGTCACTTTTCTCCGAGCGTGCAAATGATATTTCCACGACTGTAATAACGTTGACCTCAATCTGTGGAACAGCTGAAGCCGATTATGAAGTAACAGAATCACCACAATCACTATCTCGATTCGCTTTGGCCAAGGCAGATCTCGCTCGATCCCAGTTGGCTAATCACGAGTATGAAGAAGCTGTCGAAAGTGGAGACCTCGCCTTACAGCTCTGTGACGAAGATAGCGGTAACGAGCTTTCCGCAGAAGCCCGTCAAAAATGTAGATTGTCGGCCCATCTTACTGTTGGTCTAGCACAATACTACTTGAAAAACTTAGACACAGCTCTCGAATATTTTGAGCCTGCTCTCAAAGAATCCCATGGCAATCCTGATGCAGTATGTGTCCTCGCTCAAGTTTTGTGGGCTCATGGTACCGATCCTTCTCGTTCTAAAGCACAAGATATTCTCTTTGAGTGTGTGGAATCTCATCCCGATCACGTCCAATCCATACTTCTTCTCAGCATTATAGCACTATTCAACTCTGATACCGAAAGTATTGATGCAGTAACCGCGGAACTACAAACTCTTCGTACGAGTCGAAGTATCACTGATGCAGAACAAGCACGTGTTGGTGAAGTTCTTCGTTCCATCGCCGCATTTGCAGAGGAAAATTCGGAGCAAAAGATACTGGCTGAGACACAAAAGGATGTCTTTCTTCATCCGGGATCAACACACGGTTGGTCGAGGTTGTCGAACATTGGTAGTGATGAGAAGCCGGCTGAGATGGCAGTATTGACAGCCAAGAAATCAGTACCTCCGCGTGGAATGCTGAGTGCTGATGATTTGGCTGGCGCATATGCGGGAACTGGGAAGATTGGTGATGCACAGAGGGCTATTATGGTTGCACCCTGGAAGAAGCATGCGTGGGAGGCTTTTAGTAATGGTATCTCTGCATAGTGCGCTATGTTATATGAAAATGAAGGAGGATATCATAGTATTAATGATCAAGCTAGTGTAGTGTTATTCACAGAAGTGAACAACTGGCTTCGTTTGTACAGAACACTAACTATCTCATGTATGTATGTATTAAATACCATATTCGTCAGAAAGAATAATGAACAAAATATCATTGTCAGTTGTTGGCTGTCAAGTGGATGTTTGAATTCGATCCCTAGCTCACGGTAAGCCCCTACAGAGTAGGAACCAGTGTCATACTGGCAGTTCATTTAGTTCTCTCCTCACTCAAGGCTGTGTCTTACTCTTTTTTATGATTATGCCATATCTTCTTTCCTATTAGAGTAGTTTCTTCCTCCTTTCGGGATACTTCTCTTTCCCCTCTTAATAACAACTAGGTAGAGAACACAGTCAGTAAGTCAGTAGCTTGCTTCTTCACCTGCTACCGGTACATCGATCAACTTCTTTCTGCAGCCAAAACTCAACTCAAGTTTCCACCCCACCCCATCTCACCCAGACGATCTTAATCTCTTATAGACTTGTACTTGTACGAGTAGTCTGGAGAAAAGTGCGTCTTATTGTTTGTAAGACCTTGTTTTATAATACCGGTAAGTAACTAGTATGATGGGAGGGCCGCTGGCGAGGCGAGGTGAATATTTGGAATATTGATTACCGGTAATGGGAAAGATTGGGAAGATGCGAAAATAGAATAATGCAGTGGATGTACTCGTAGTGGGTGCAATGAGCGGATAGCATGATTGATATATTTGCATGGTCTCGTTCGATACAATACTTAATTGTATCGAGCAAACATCATAAAATCCACACAAGAACCTTTTCTCGGCTAATAAATATGGGGATAACATGAAATATGTATGAAATTCTGGGAATGATCGGAGGAATACTTTACAGTGTATTCACGTTTGCTAAATTAGACTCCGATTTTCAATTTCGTGAAGAGATATATATATATACATATATATACATTTTGAGTCGGGAGAATGGTACATGAGTGTAACTTACTTACTGACCTCCGAGTTTTGTTTTTTTTATTTCGGTTTTGGGATTGAGATAGAATATTAATCCTCTGATCCTGATTTAATCTTTGAAGTAGAGTAAGTATATGCGAATCATCTAGTTTCTACAAGTAGAAAGTAATTTATTACAGGAAGTCTTCGTTGTATACTCTTTAATTTCTGTTTTTACTACTGCATCTCCATCTCCATCTCCATCCAGAAATGGTCTTCTGTATACTTGGCCTCACTTGTAAGCCCTCGCTACAATACATATTGGATATATATTAACCAACTTAAATACTAGTATCTATTTTGAATGTTCGAGTCCGTAGGACTTTTGACTCTCATGTCATATGAAGTTTCGGCGTAGTTGGTTTGGAGGAAGTGATAATCTACTCGAATATGGTGAAATAGATACATGGTATTGGGGGATAGTGGAGCTGTGGTTGTGGTTACGGCTTGTTGGTGGTGATGATGATGATGATAATGGCCTGGGGAAGGAGCAGAGAAGTAGTGTAAGTTTTTGGGAAGGATGTGGAGGTTTGGTTTTCTAGGGATGAGAGATTTGAGATGAGGACTCGGAATTTGAGGTGAGAGGTTGGGATGGAGGATGGAGGATGGGTGGAAATAAACTTGAAAGCGAAAGAAAGCTATTGGGTGGGAGTATTGTCTGAAAATTCGATATAGGATAGTTTGTAAAGTTTGACAGTGATAGAGAAGAAAGAAAGACTTTCTTTCATTTTTTGTTTATGGGGGATGAGATAAATTGAAACTAAGTATGAAATTGGTATAGAAGGTCAGAAGTTCTTGTCTAATACTGAAGGAAGAGATGGCTGCAAAATTGTAATTGTAACCGAGGAAATTTATTTGTTATTATCGGAAGTGTGGAGTTGAGATATTGTACTCAGTATAGAAGTCAGAACATCTGGATAAATAATATCTTTTACATCGACTAAAGGTTTGGGATATACACACAACTTCAATATTGATGAAGAGTGTTTTATGCTCTTATCTGAAGTTTGAAGACGAGATAGATGTATAATTTGACAAGTACTCGAGTATGTAGAGTACATGAAGTTCACATCCTAACCTAAAGTGATGGATTCATTATCACGCTGAAGAACAAACTGAGCCTTATTACTCCTTTCCAAAATCAATTCTTGGGATGGTGTACATCTTGAACTTCAAATGTGACACAGAGATTTAGTATTCTTATCTAAATTTTGTAAAAGGAGTTCATTTAGAATAACTTGCTGGCTAGCCAAACCCTTCGTAGGTCACATTATAATTATAGGGACTATAGTATCTAAAACTCGTCGATTAATTTACAAGTATGCAAGTTCCAATCTTAAATATGAAGTTGAGACCTACTCATTCATTATGATATAGTCTGAGTTGTCCTTCAACCAACCGAGCGTCTTTTAATTAGCCAGAAGCCCCCGAAAAACGTTAGCAGCGCCATCACGCAAATGATGGCTACCATCCACGCCACTGTACGCCCAGAGATATCATCTCCATCATCGGTATCTCCACTCGTAGAGTTACCCACTCCATTCCCTGCCAGAATCCCTGGTCCGTTCTCATCTAGTATTGCCGCATCGACTGATGCCTGGTGAATATTGAATTTATCTGCAGTGACAGTAGTCAATGCATTATCCTCATCCACGGCCGTGATAGAAACAGTTCCATACGCGCTCATCAGACTAGCCTCTAGTATTTCGGTATATTGGGACATTCGGAGCGAATTGGAAGAGTCGAAGGATGATTCGATGGAAGCTACTTTGGCGGAGTAGGAAGGGTCTGGGAGGCCGTTGGAGAGGGTAGATGCGGGTAGCTCTAGTACTTCTAGTTTGGGGGTGGGGAGAGATGGATTCCAATTGTGAGCGAATGGTGTAGGACTTGTGGTGAAAGAAAGGAGGAAGACCTGGGTGGTGAGACCGGGGTCAATGTGGGAGGTTGTGGGGTGAAATGAGGGTGATGTGGGTGGTGTTGTGTCTCCGAGGATCAGAAAGGAATACTTGCAAATGACTTGGGAGCTAGATATATAAACGGTGGGGGCATCGAGATAGTATTCGAAGTCGGTGTTGTTGGTAGGTCTATCAGCTATTAGTTTGTGAGATCAATTGGCAGATAGATAGTAGTGACCAAGAAGGTGGGGACAATCGAATTGGGAGAAGATGTTAGAGACATACCTATAACACCAATCGCTCCTAGTAGTATTGGCCTGTATAGTGATTTAATCCCATTGAACTGGACCGAAATCCCATGTACTTCCTCCTTGTGTTTCGATTGCGAACAATACCTGGAGCTGATTAGTCTACCTCAAAAAACCACAATGATAAATTGGACTGTATGATTACCTTCGTGAAAGGACCTTGACCAGGAGAAGCCTCTATTGGTTATCATCGTTAGTGTCTTCCCTCTCATGGTCCTCTTTCACACATAATGAAGAAGAATCTGCCATGTGACTTACGATGTTCTCGGGGATTAAAAACAGACTCAGCAGAAAAGTCCTTCTCACTAGCTTTTATACCGGCGTGGCCTCGCTCAACCCTCCATGTAACATTGTATACACCAGTATTTGCGCTCGTCAGCTCATACTGAGTGGTAATACGATCTCCAGGATATACTGGTTTTTGTCAGCCTATCCATCTATATACAAGTAATGGCGCAACTAGTAAATATACCTTGCTGAGCCTTATCAGCTTTCCAGTCTTCAGGTCTTTGGTTGAATACAATTAGCTGTGCCACTTTCATTGCTTTCGACCAAAATCGGTCGATTCTTCAAAGTGAATTATGTATACAAAGGGAGAGAGAACACATACGTGCAGCAATACTCCAGCCCAATGTAAAACCACTCTCCAATACTACCTTGGTTTGCGACCGCGGTTTGGATAATTCCTTCGTTATTTTGTAGTGCAGGCCAGATAGCTTGAACATTGCCTGGTATGACCGGTGCTGTAGAGGAGGGAGGAACCACTTGAACGCTCCGGAGCTATTGCGTATTAGCTTGCGCTCAAACCAATAGATTTATAGGAAACAATTAGACAGCGTACCTTAGTGATAGTCGAGTCTGAATCAAGAAGAAGATAAAAGAATTTGGCATCAATGTCAGTCGAAGCTGCAGCAGCTGCAAGTCCACTCAAAAGGCCCCAGATCAACAAGAAAATTAACATGATCATAGTATGCAAAGGAGTCAACTCTTCTCGAAAGATAATAAACATAGAGAGCCAGTGGTTGGAACAGATCTAAAGGAGAGAATCTGCAGATCTTTTTATTTTATTGAAGAAGATATCGATGAATGGAATTTGATGAGAACTTTGAAAGAAAAGAGAAAATGAATGCAAGAGTAACAGGAGCAAACTTGATGAGGATGTGAATTCATGTAGCAAAGAGAGAGTCTCAGGTCCTAATTCTTTTTATTATGACTAGATCTCAGACTTGGTGTGAACATAAACGCCGGAGAAAGATAGTTCCGATATAGGATATCAGATGAAGCTATTCACCACTCGATGATTGAATAAGCGACAGCTTGCTCCATACAGACATTTTAAGCACAGAACACAACCATTCAAAAGCAAGCCAGAATAACCAAACAGAAAGGTACAGTCATTGGAACTTTTCCTTATGATCAAATAGATATTAAACAAGGTGGTAGGGTCCTCCTGTCAATATAAGCTAAGCAAACCAAAAATGTAGATTCCTTCTGAAAGGAGGAGAAAGAAGACACCTCCTGGTACTGACGTGCAACAAGAAAGACCTTTGACATGAAAGAACGATTGTAGTTGGTGGGAATAATTGAGAAACTTCACATGCTGGGTCTGAATTATTCATCAGAAAGGAAAACAGGCATCTACCCTGGATGCCCCCTAGCTACGACACACAACAACAGACTCAGGCACTGTTTTTATATGAAGAGAGATAAATGCCCTGGTACGGAGATCCAACCGAAACTTTTTTCTTGAAAAGATTGTTGTGGTTAGTGGCAAAACGCAAAGAACTTTACTTTGACAACTTGGTGGAAATACCGTTTAGACACTCACTACCTATGGTCTTTCCTCTACCTACTCAACTTCGGCTAGTCGATCATCTGATGAAAACATACTTTTAACTGTGTATACTTATGAAATGTTGTCTTTGCTGCCTAGAACAATGAATTTGTTTTCTATATTAAAACAAGGGTAGATTAAAGGTACCCCTCGAAGATTTCCCTATTGATATGAGCTTGGAACTCTATTCAATTATCATTTCTTATTATCTCTATTATGATTCTAGAATCCTTGAGATATACTTGTATATTTATCAAGTAGAAATTGCAGCAAAGGCAGGGTGTGAAAGTTTGAAAGTGTAAAAATATAAAAATATAAGGGCCTGTTTGGCTCGGTAGTGTACGCAAAAGTGTACTACCAAAATAATTTTTTATACTCCATTACATAAATAAAAATGTACACTTTTCAAAAATCCGTTTGGCTCAAATTAAAGAGTGTACACGAATCCATATATTTATAAATGAAACATATTCGAAAAAGCTGTATTTGAAAAATGTAAAAATTGAAAAATATACACTTTCGCTAGTCTATCCGCCCTAATTCCCTAATATCATTCAACAATTTGATCTAACCCTATAATTATAGTATTGCCATTATTGAAAAAAAGGAAAAAACGCAATAAAAAGCTTTTGATAATAATTTCAATATTATCTACAACTATAGCCGCTATTTATTATAAATATAACTTTTATAAACATCTACAATATACCTCCAAAATATCTGGTATTTAATGGATATACAAATTAGTCTTTAAACATTTTGAAAGAATTAAGAACAATCTAGGGATCTTCTAAACTAGGTTTTTATTATTAGAAGATCAGTTGATTAAGATAATAAATATAGTAAGTATTCGATATATGTCTACTATAGAACAATTTGGCATATTCCTTTATGTAATTGTCGGAATATAGATTATACGATACTAGCGTATACGCTAGTATGCTTATAAGGGCTCTCTCTCCTATAGCTTTTATAGAGGGTCGTCGTCAATAAGAGTACTATAGGAATAGCCATTATTGATCCGAACAACCCCACTGTGGTGAACCAACAGTAATTATTACTAATCTTTCAATATATCGGTTTGCAGAGTAATTTCAACAAAGTACTTGAACTATTAATAAAACTTATCATAAAGTTATAAAATACTTTCTTTCTCCTATATTCTATTGATCTATTGTATAATCTTTTATTACCTTTATATTTCTATATTTCAAGATATCACAAAATTCGAAGTATTTTCTACATTTCAAGAATTGTATTGAAATTGTCGATATAATTTATATTTCTATTTTGTTATTAGAATAAGAAAAAGTCCTATATCGAAATAGAAAAGATACCTTGACTTAGAATATTCTTATTGTTTACAATTTCGATATACGATTTACAGATATGTTATATGGATAAAAAAGAAGTATATCTGATTCGGTACTATGGAAAGAAGTTCTTAAATACAATATTATCAAGGTTCTGGATAGCAAAGTATTTATTAGAAAATACTGGATTTATAAATTGTGATTTATATTTAATACTATATAAAGAGGTTTAATATCATTTGAAGAAATAGATAAAAGATTAATAAGCACCACAAATAAAAGAGAAACTTTTCAATTTATGATATGCCGAATTGTACAATATAATTGAATAGATATTTGATATTATAAAAAGCAGGTTCTATATATTGGGAATTGCATAGAAATTCAAATTATCTGTTCAAATATAGATTATTGTAGTTTTTTATACTTTTTATAATATATTAGTTAATTTATAAAAGGTTGATATAGAAGAAAGATCAATTATATTTGATTATAAGGATATGAATAACAATAAAAATAACAAGGGACCTATAGTAGATAATGTATATAATATTTATAATAAAAAGAAACAGCGAGTAGTTTTGAAAAAGAATACTATTGCTATAGCTATATAGAATAACTATTTAATAAAACAGAATAGAAGGAATACTATTTGAGATTATTAGTTATTCTTTTATAGATAAATCAATAAATTGTTTCATTGCATCAAGCTTTTCAAATTGCTTTTCCACTCATTTGATCCTTAAAATATTATTCTTAATAAAGAGATAAATACAAGTTAATACTGGTATTAAAAGATATTCTAATATAACTAATTGTTTTTCTTCCGTCAAACAGATCTCTGATTGGATTTTCTCTTGTACTTGACCCTTTATTGTTGAATTTATCAAGTCCTTAGTAATTTGCTTAATTGAATTTTGAATCATTGCTTCAGCAAGAGCAAATATACCATCTCCAATAGCTCTAATAGCTCCAATGTCTAATATTTTTATAATATTAGATATAGTAATTGCCTTTGGAATATTAATACTCGATGATTTTGATTTTTTGATAATAATAGGAGTCCTGAGATTAGCAGAATTAGTATAGTGTTTTGTAACAATAATAATAGTAGAAATAGATTGGGATTTTTTGTTATTATTATTAGCGAATGGATCATTAGATTCCAGAGTATTGTTAATATCGATAATATTTTCAGAAGAGTTGAGGACTGAGTTGGTAAATAATATTGGATCAAGATTATTTAGAGGTTTGCTAATGATAGGATCGATATTTTTGTTGCCTTCCTCTATCTTATTATTGGGTCTTATATCTTTATATTATTTATATGTTTTTATAACAAATAATTCTTTAAA